AGCTTCCTGGAGACACACCTTTCTCCCCTTCCCCTCACCCCGGCTCCCTGGGGCGGCCTGACCCGGACTCGAGTGCCCCCTTGCCCACCACCCCGAGAGAAACTCTAAGTAAAGCCCCTGGGGTCCCTGCTCCAGGAGCAGCCCGCCCCCGCCCCGTGGGGACCGCTCTCCCGCCTCTCCTCGTGGCCTCCCCCCGCCCACCTCTTCTCCCCTGGCCTCAGCTCAGGTCAGGCTCGGTGAGCCCCCTGCACGCCCCGCAGGCCCCCCGTGCCCCTCAGACCTCCTGCTCGCCCCCGGAGACCCCTGCTTGTCCCGCCCATTTCTCTGGGTCCCTCTCGCCACTCAGCCTCCCAGCGGGGCCACTGTCCTACCTGAGCCCTCGGGGGAGTCACGTCACTTGCCCTGTGGCGCTCGATGTGAGGAGGCAACAGAGCCCTCGGCTGGACCGCGCTTCTGGCCTGTAGGGGAAGAGGTGTGGGGAGTTCCGAGAGGGTTCCAGGGACGAACTGCAGCCCACGTCGACGCTGGCCTCGCCCAGCTCCATGTGGGTGGCGGCATGGGGGTGACCCTGAATCTGTCCCAGCCTAAGCCCTGAGCTGCTGGCGGGCGTCCTGCCTGCCCTTCCGTGACTGGAGCCCGCGCTCCCGCAGATCACGCTAACCACCATTGGCTACGGGGACAAGTACCCCCAGACGTGGAACGGCAGGCTCCTGGCGGCGACCTTCACCCTCATCGGGGTCTCGTTCTTCGCGCTCCCTGCGGTAAGTCTGGCCGCCCCGCCCGCCTTGGAGGGGTGTGCGTCCCGGGGGCATAGTCTGACCCTGAGGAGTTGGGGTGTGTGGGGTCCCTGGGGTGTGGCCTGACCCTGGTGAATTGGGGGTGTCCCTGGGGTGTGGTCTGACCCTGATGAATTGGGGGTGTCCCTGGGGTGTGGCCTGACCCTGATGAATTGGGGGTGTCCCTGGGGTGTGGCCTGACCCTGATGAATTGGGGGTGTCCCTGGGGTGTGGCCTGACCCTGATGAATTGGGGGTGTCCCTGGGGTGTGGCCTGACCCTGATGAATTGCAGGGCATCTTGGGGTCTGGCTTTGCCCTGAAGGTTCAGGAGCAGCATCGGCAGAAGCACTTTGAGAAGAGGCGGAACCCTGCAGCAGGCCTGATCCAGGTGAGCCGAGCCGTCTCCTCGGGGACCAGCGCAGCCCCATCCTGGTCCACCTTGTCCAGGAGTGGGGATCGCTCCGGCCTTGGCCTCTCGCTGTGGACGGGGCCATAGCCCTTACCCGCTGCAGGAATCTGGAAGGAGTGAGGACGTGGAGTTTGTGTGTTGAGAAATGGGTCAGACCCCTGAGGTTGCACAGGGGTGGCTCCTGTGAGGACGCTGGGGTGGCCCTGGCCCTGTGTGGGTGCTGGGGCCCGGCCGTCATGTCCTCTCTGCAGCACCCTGGGAGGCCGGCTGCACGGCCAAGGCTCCCCGAGCCCATACCTGCCGCGGGTCGGCGCCTGACCTCGTCTGACCCCAGTGCTGGCCGTGGCTCCCACGATGCCTGCCCAGACCTCACCCAGTCCTGTCCCACCATTTGGGGGTGGGTGGGGTGCAGTGACTGCTCCGGCATCCACAGGTAATTCCTGAACCACCCTGACAGCGCGGACAGGCAGTAGCACTCCCTCGGGATCAGCCATTCTCACAGCTCCTCCCCAAAGTCTGTCCCAGCCACTGGACCTGCAGAGTTGACCAGGATCCCTGCCAGCTGGACGTGGCCTGTCTTAGGAGAGCTTGAGGCGGAGACACTCCCGGGTTTCCCCAGTGGGCCCTAAGTACAGTCACAGTCACGTGCGTCCTTAGACGGAGATTGGATGCAGCAGAGGAGAAAGCAGTGTGGAGGCTGGAGACTGCAGTGATGTGGCCACAAGCCACGGAGTGTTGGCCACGGCAGGGTGTGTGCCTCCTGTGGTCTTGGCCCTGGGTCCAGCCTGCCTTAATATGTGTGTGTGTTTATCTCCCTCGATAAAAACTACAAGCACTGATTTATTTTAATGCAAAAGAGCATAAAGAGGAACAGAAGTGCCCCAGATCTCACTCTAACATTGACGGCTTAAAAAGTGACCTGCACTTGGTGAAAAGGTTAAATACTGCTGGAAAAAGAAGGGCCTCAGCACCCTGGCTCCTGTCCCCCCGCTCCCCTCTTAGCAGGTCACTCTTAGCAGCAGCTGGTGCCATTTCCAGAGCGCAGTTGGGCCTCACCTTGGGCACAGCTCAGAGGCCCTGCAGCCAGGTTCCAGACTACTGCATCAGAGACACGGCAGCAGAGCGAGTCACACGAATTTCGTGGTTTCCCAGTGCATGTGGAAATTAGATTTACAGGCCGGGCACAGTGGCTCATGCGTGTAATCCCAGCATTTTTGGGGGCTGGGGCAGGCAAATTGCTTGAGGTCAGGAGTTCGAGACTAGTCTGGCCAACGTGCTGAAACCCTGTCTCTACTAAAAATACAAAAAAATTAGCTGGGTGTATTTGTGGGTGCCTGTAATCCCAGGGACTCAGGAAGCTGAGGCAGGAGAATCTCTTGAACCCAGGAGGCAGAGGTTTCGGTGAGCCAAGATCGTGCCACTGCACTCCAGCCTGGGTGACAGAGTGAGACTTTGTCTCAAAAAAAAAAAAAAAAAAAAAAAAAAGTGGGGTTTACACCAAGCTGCAGCCTCCTAAGTGTGCAGCAGCATTATGTCTGAAAAACTGCCCGTTCCTTCATTTACAAATAATTGGTAAAAATACTAACAGTCAGGCCGGGTGCGGTGGCTCACGCCTGTAATCCCAGCACTTTGGGAGGCCGAGGCAGGTGGATCACGAGGTCAAGAGATCGAGACCATCCTGGTCAACATGGTGAAACCCCGTCTACTAAAAATACAAAAATTTAGCTGGGCATGGTGGCGCGTGCCTGTAATCCCAGCTACTCAGGAGGCCGAGGCAGGAGAATCGCCTGAACCCAGGAGGCGGAGGTTGCGGTGAGCCGAGATCGCGCCATTGCACTCCAGCCTGGGCAACAAGAGCGAAACTCTGTCTCCAAAAAAAAAAAAAAAAAAAAAAAAAAGCTAACAGTCATCCGAGCCTTTGGTGAGCTGATCGGTGCTGATGGAGGATCTCTGGCCTTGCTGCTGCCGAGGGGGGGCTGCTGAAGGCCGGGGTGGATGTGGCGATTTCTTACGAGAAGGCGAGAACGAGGCTTGTCACGTGGATTCACTCTTCCTCTCTGAAGGATTCCTCTGCAGCGCGATGCTGCTGGGCGGCATTTTCCGCTCACTGGGGCTGCTTTCAGCCCTGCAGTCCATCCTCAGACGCTGCCGCTGCTGCCTTGTCAACGAAGTTTATGTCACATCTCAGTCCTTCCTGCCATTTCAACACTGTTCACAGCATCTTCGCCTGGAGGAGAGTCTTGTCAACCCCCCCGAAAAAAAATAGATCAGAGAAAAAATATCTCCAGACATGTCGAATGTATTTGGGAATTAGAAGAAAAGATTATAACCAGAGATGAGCCGGCACAGCTGGAGGGTGGGGGACAGGGAGCTCTCATCCAGAGACGAGCCAGCGTGGTGAGATGCCCGTGCGCCCAGACGGGGAGGGGCAGGGAGCTCTCATTGGCTTGGAAGTTCACATAAGCTGCCTGAAAACCGCGTTCGTCATTCCGGAGGCTGAAAACGAGTTGGCGTCTGTCCACGGGTGGAGATTGTGGCGCTGCGGGGCCAGGGTTCTTCCTGGAGCGTCTCATCTGAATCGCTGTGGGCCTGACAAGGAATTCCTCGTGGGGTCATTTTAGAACATTCTTGGCCTTGGCCCCGTCTCAGCCTGGTGGGCGTGGGCCCTCCCGCCTCGTGCTCTCTGGCCCCAGTTGCTCTGGGGCTGGTGGAAGTGGTCTCACCCTGCGGTCTGCAGAGACCACGGTCCGTACCAGGAAACCACTTACTGGGCGCATCCGTAAACGGCGCTCCTCGCCTGTGAGAGTTTCACCCTGCGACCGCGGCAGGTCAGCCCCGTCTGCGGGCTCCACGTCGGGTTCCAGTTCATCTGCAGTGAAGTCGCGAAGGCCTCAGAGTCTTCCGTGAGGGTCGAAATCACCTTCTCCCAGACTCTTGTTACTGAGGTATTTTGACCTTCCCCCGCGAATCAACTGTTGTGAATGGCATTTAAATGGTGAATCCTTTCCTGAAGGTTTTCAATTTACTTTGCCCAGACCCATCCGAGGAATCGCACTCTGTGGTTGGCAGGGGAATCGCTGTCTGTGTAGAGGAATCAGTCTGTGGCAGCCACGGCCTGGCCACGTGTGTCTCTGAAATAAGACTTGGAAGTTAAAGGCACCCCGATGGATGGTTGTGGAATGGGTGCTGTCTGAGCAGGCATGAATACGCATCCATCTCGCTCGCTATCTCCATCAGAGCTCTTGGGTGGCAGGGTGCGTTGTCAAGGAGCAGTCATATTTTGGAAGGAATGTTTTTTTCTAAGCTGCAGGTCTCAACAGTGGGCTTAAAATACCGAGTGCAGCATGCTGTAGGCAGACGAGCTGTCCTCCAGCCTCGGTTGCATCTGCAGAGCAGATTCCGCTTCGTCCCCAGGGCCCCAGGATGTTCGGACCGGACGGGGAGTGCTGCCTGCAGTTCTGTCACCAGCCACCACACACCTGCAGAGGGTCTTCTTGCTGGTGGCAAACGCCGTTACAGGGGCCTTGGGAGGCTGTGGTGGGCACATCCCTTGAGACTGGAAGCTGAAGGCTAGCTCTGGCCTTGGCAACAAAGATCCATTTTTTTTTTTTTTTTTTGAGATGGAATTTCTCTCTGTCCCCCTGGCTGGAGTGCAATGGCGAGATCTCGGCTCACTGCAACATCCGCCTCTTGGGTTCAAGCAGTTCTCCTGCCTCAGCCTCTCAGGTAGCTGGGATTATAGGCACCTACGACCACGCCCAGCTAATTTTTCAGTGAGCTGTGGTCTCAGCTACTTGGGAGGCTGATGCGGGAGGATCTCGTGAGCCCAGGAGGTGGAGGTTGCAGTGATCTATGATTGCATCACTGCGCTGTAGCCTGGGCATCAGAGCAAGACCCTGTCTCAAAAAATAAATTAAAAAACAGAGATAAACTTAAAAAGTAGACAGACTCAATGAAACCAAAAGTTGAGTCTTTGAAAAAAATCAAAATTGGGCAGGGCACAGTGGCTCACTCTTGTATGTACTTTGGGAAGCTGAAGCGGATCACCTGAGGTCAGGAGTTCAAGACCAGCCTGGCCAACATGGTGAATTCCCGTCTCTACTAACAATACAAAAATTAGTTGGGTGTGGTGGTGGGCACTTGTAATCCTAGCTGCTCAGGAGACTGAGGCAGGAGAATCGTTTGGAACTGGGAGGCAGAGGTTGCAGTGAGCTGAGATCACACCACTGTACTCCAGCCTGGGCAACAGAGTGAGATTGTGTCTCAAAAAAAACCCAAAAAACAAAAAACAAAAAATCAAATTGACAAACCTCGAGTCGGACTAAGAAAAGAAGAGAGAGCATTCGGGTTGCCAAAATCAGACTTAAAAGTAGAGATGCTGCCGGACGCGGTGGCTCACGCCTGTAATCCCAGCACTTTGGGAGGCCGAGGCGGGTGGATCACGAGGTCAAGAGATCGAGACCATCCTGGTCAACATGGTGAAACCCCGTCTCTACTAAAAATACAAAAATTAGCTGGGCATGGTGGTGCGTGCCTGTGATCCCAGCTACTCAGGAGGCTGAGGCAGGAGAATTGCCTGAACCCAGGAGGCGGAGGTTGCGGTGAGCCGAGATCGCGCCATTGCACTCCAGCCTGGGTAACAAGAGAGAAACTCTGTCTCCAAAAAAAAAAAAAAAAAAAAAAAGTGGAGATGTTGCTACTGACTTCATAGAACTAAAGATACAAGAACACTGAACAGCCATGTCACACAGGTTCACAACCCAGATCAAGGGGCAAATTCTTTTGAGACACGTAAGCTACAAAAACAGAGGTAGAAAATCTGAGACCTTAGAACAAGGAAAGAGATTGAGTCATTAATCAAAAGTCTTCCAACACAAGGCCGGCTGGCGCACGCCTGTAATCCCAGCACTTCGGGAGGCCAAGGCAGACAGATTGGCTGAGGTCAGGAGTTTGAGACCAGTCTGGCCAACGTGGACAGAAACCCTGTCCCTACTAAAAATCCAAAAATTAGCTGGTTATGTTGGTTCGCACCTGTAATCCCAGCTACTGGAGAGGCTGAGGCAGGAGATTTGCTTGGGAGGCGGAGGTTGCAGTGAGCCAAGATTGCGCTATTGCACTTCATCCTGGGGGGCAGAGCGAGACTCTGCCTTTTTTTTTTTTTTTTTTTTTTTTTTTGAGACGGAGTTTCGCTCTTGTTACCCAGGCTGGAGTGCAATGGCGTGATCTCGGCTCACCGCAACCTCCGCCTCCTGGGCTCAGGCAATTCTCCTGCCTCAGCCTCCTGAGTAGCTGGGATTACAGGCACGCGCCACCATGCCCAGCTAATTTTTTGTGTTTTTAGTAGAGACGGGGTTTCACCATGTTGACCAGGATGGTCTCGATCTCTTGACCTCGTGATCCACCCGCCTCGGCCTCCCAAAGTGCTGGGATTACAGGCGTGAGCCACCGCGCCCGGCCCGAGACTCTGTCTTAAAACAAAACAAAAACTTAGCTGGGTGTGATAGCGCGTGCTTGTAGTCCCAGCTACTTGGGAGGCTGAGGTGGGAGAACAGCCAGAGGTTGCAGTGAGCTGAGATCAAACCTCTATGCGCCTGTTTAGGTGACAGAGGGAGAGTCTGTCTCAAAAAAAAAAAAAAATTATAATAACAAAGACCTAAAATGGAAAGACACCCCATTTCCATGGATTGGAAGACTTAATTTTATTAATATCATTAAAATTGAGCTACACATTTAAACAATGCAAATTGATCTACAGATTCAGTGCAATTCTTACTGTAATTCCAGTGTCCCCCACCTTTGTTTTGTTTTGCAGAAGTGGAAAGGCTGATCCTAAGATTCATATGGAATTGTAATGGACCAGAACAATTGGCCAAAACGGCCTTGAAAGGGAAGAGCAAAGTTGTAGGACTAACACTTTCCGATTTGAAACTTACTACAAAGCAACAGTAATCAAAACAGTGTGCCATTTGCATAAGACAGACATACAGGTCAAGGGGATGGCACTGAGAGTCCAGAACTAAATCCATGCATCTGAGGTCAGTTTTCAAGGGTGCCAGGTCCAGCGGAGAAAGAACAGTCTCTTCAGCCAGTGGTGCTGGCACGATCGGGTGTCTGTTCTTTAAAGAATGAAATTTGACTCTCATCTCATGTACCAAAATTAACAAAAATTAACTAAAGTTGTAAAAACCCTCAGAAGAACACACAGGCATAAATTTCCGTGATCTGGATTTTAAAAAACACGGAACAGCAAAATCACAACCCACAGAATGGGAGAAAATGCTGCAGAGTGTGTCCATGATGAGGGTTAGTGTTCAGAGCGTATTAAGAACGCTCACAACTCAGTAACAGAAAGCCCTACAGACTGCGGGCAAAGGGTTCGCCCGGACATCCTCCACAGAGGACACTCGGAGTGGCCAGTAAGCTCCTGACGAGACGCCCAGTGCTGGCGGGTGTCAGGGAAACGCCACTTCACATCTGTTAGGATGGCCAAGTTTTTTTTTTTTGAGACAGGGTCTTGCTCTGTCGGCCAGGCTGGAGTGCAGTGGCATGATCTTGGCTCACTGAAGCCTCGACCTCCCGGGTTTAAGCGATTCTCTACTCACTTAGCCTCCTGAGTAGCTGGGACTACAAGTGTGCACTAGCATACCTGGCTAATTTTTATTTTATTTTATTTATTTTTAAATTATTTTATTTTATTATTTATGTTCTGTTATTTGCAGGGTTTTGCCATGCTTCCCAGGCTGGTATCGAACTCCTGGGCTCAGGCGATCCACCTGCCTCAGCCTCCAAGGTGCTGGGATTACAGGCATGAGCCTCTGGGCCTGGCTGGGGTGGCTAACGGAAAATCAGTGTCGGAGAGGATGTGGAGAAATGGGGACCCCTTGCCGGTAGGAATGTAATGACGCAGCTACCCTGCAAACCAGTTTGATTGTTTCTCAGAAAGCTGATAAACGAGTTACCTCGTGACCCAGCAATTCTACCTCGAGGTATAGACACAAAGTAATTGAAAACAGATCTTCAGCCAAAAACGTGCACACGTGTTTCACAGCAGCAGCACTCACGGCAGCCAAAACGTAGAAACAGCCGAAATGCTCGTTAATGGATGAACAGAGCGTGATTCACCCAGACAATCCTCCTACGAGGAGGCGCGGTCGCTGACGCGCTAGGACACGCGCTGGGACCCGCCCGCTCGGTGGAGGGAGCCGGCGGGGGAGGAAGCGCCCGGGGAGGGGAGTCCGTGGAGACCCCAGCGAGCACCCTGGCAGGGGCCGGGGCCTGGGGGGCCGGGGCCAGGAGTGCCTGCTTAGTGTGTATGGCGGTAGGGGGTTTCTTTGGGGGCGGCGAAGAGGTTGCTGAGCTGAGTAGTGATGGTGGTGTCACAGCACTGTGAATACAGGTGCTACTGAAATGCACGCCTCAAAATGGCTCACATGGTGAGCTTTCTGAAATGAGATACACGTCTTTCAGCACCGCAAACAAAGGCACAGAGAACGGGAAATCTGGCCAGGTGGGTTCAGTCCGACCCGCAGGCTCCCGCCCCGTGCTGGCCGACTCCCCACCCCCTGCTGGGGAAGCCCCCCTGGGCTGGGCTACCACCCTGGGAGGATGGCGGCTGGGGTCCCTGGCCCTGCCGGGGTGATGGGTGATGCCTGCCAGGGGCCAGGTGAGAGGCATGAACAGAACAGAGCATGGCCTCCCTGTGAGCTCCTGTGGGCCCCGAGTCAGGCCCCGGGTGCTCCCCTTCTTCCCGTGTCTGTCCTGCAGAGGGTAAACTGAGGCTATGGGGCAGATGCAGCACTGGGGGCCGGCCTGCTGGCTGACAGTCCCACGTGCCTGGCTCACAGCGTGGGGGTCCCGGGTCCGCTCTGCGCCTGGCCCTCCCGGCCGACCGACCCCGTCTCTCCCTCTGCAGTCGGCCTGGAGGTTCTACGCCACCAACCTGTCGCGCACCGACCTGCACTCCACGTGGCAGTACTACGAGCGCACGGTCACCGTGCCCATGTACAGGTACCGCCGCCACGCACGCCGCCACCGGCATCCCTTCGTTTTTATTTTCCGTTTGTTCTTAAAACCCCGTTTTTGTTGTTCATTGTTTTGATTTTTTTTTTCTTTAAAATGTACGTCTTTTTCACGACGGAGTTCTGTGTGTGGTTCATTTCGAGGTGTTGGTTCTGCCCTGAGTTCCAGCCGCGGCTGTTCCCCTTCATTTCCCCACCCTCTGCTCTGTCGTCTGCTGTGGTCCTGCTGTTTGTGTGCCTTGCGAGGACGCCCCTCCCCAGGGGGCTCCGGGTCTTCCTGCAGCTCCAGGTGCCCAGGCTTCATGAGTGGAGCCAGCACCGACCCCGTCCCCCAGCAAAGACCAGGGCTCCTGCGTGGGGTGGGGGGGCGGGAAAGTGACCCCGGCTCACAGCGAGGCTTTCAGATCAGGAGACCCGAATTATCCTGGGGGTCCCAGGTGACCCCAACAGCACAGAGCGCACAGACACCCTTGGAGCCCCTCGGGCAGCAGATAAGGAGCCTAGAAAGTGCCTGTCCATGGCCCCGGGGGACAGTGCCAGCAGGTCTGGTGACCCTGTAGGCGGAGGGCGGCTTCCTGTGTTTGTTTCACAAGGGCAGCTGGCAGCCAGTGGGGATATTCCATGCTGGGCTCTTGCTAAATGAAGGTCTGAGATGAGGGATGCTGAGGGCCTTTCACCCGGTCCACGCGGGCCTGACCCCTCAGTCCGCCGGGGCGCGCCCCACCTTGCCGGCCTGCCCTCCGCTGTGAGGTGGGGCACGGAGCCGGGGACTTACCAGCTCAGGTGTAGCCCCGACTCACAGCGGGTGTCTGTACCCTGGAGCCTTCCCTGAGGGTGGGGTGGGTGCACAGCTTGGCTGGCACTTCTTGGCTTGGGGCGGGGCCCGGGGTCCTCTTGAGGCTCCTGAGGTGGGGGGGTGCACAGACCCGCGGCCGTCCTCAGCTGCAAGCCGCCTTGCAGGGCGTCGCCCGGGAGGAGGGTGCCAGGGCCCTTGGTGGCCCTCCGTGTTTGCCGTCGTCCCCGCCCCCCCCAGCACCCGCCCCCTCGCCTCCTGGACGCCCGCCTGTCCCGGGATACGGCCTGTGCCCCCGCGCGGCGGAACCGGGCCTCGCGCTGATCTTCTCTGTTCTGTTGTTCCCCCTCCTCTCCTCGACTGTTTGATTCATTTTTTCTGACCCCGTTCTTTTTGAAATGTTCTGTTCTTTCCCCTTTGTGTGTGTGTGTAAACCCTTGAAAGCTCCCAAACTCAGACCTACGGGGCCTCCAGGTAGGACATGCATGGGGCGGCAGCTGTGTGTGGTTTCGTTCTGTCTGGGACTGTGGCGGGGTGAGGCCTCCCTCCAGCCCTGTGGCCACCCGGTCTGCAGAGTGGCCGCCGCCCCCACCGCACCAAGCGTCCCTGCACCCTGCCCCTGTGGCCCCATGCTGGAGGCCCCTTCGCCCTGGGCCCCCCCTGCCTGGAGCCCACGTGCCAAACCCCCCCGGCCCGTTCGCTCTTCTCCTGCCCTCCCCTCCGCTGCTTCCTGTTGCTGGCCGCCTGTGTCCTCCGTGGCCTCGTCCTGTTCTGCTTCTGGCCTGGCTCCCCTCCTGCCTCTGCCCCCTCCCCCCGGGCCCCATCTGTGAGCAGAGCAGGAATGGCGGATGGGGGCTTCCCCGCTCTGGCGCTTGGCACCCGTCTGGGGCCAAGGGTGGTCCCGGGCCAGGACCCCCAGACCGGGACCCCCAGGCCGGCCCTGTCCTTGTCCCACTGCGGCTCACAGGGCGGCCTCTTCGGGGCAGCTCACCTCCGGGGCTGCCTCGAGTTTCTCCTGAGTCTTGCCTCGGTGTCGGGGGAACCCCAAGGCTCCCGGCCCTCCCACCTCTGTGTGTCCCCGCTGCTGAGGGTGGGAAACGGGGCTGTCTGCTCAGACTCGAGGGTGCTGAGCTTCGGCGGAAGCCTCACCCCAGACAGGACGCAGGGCCTCTCCCCGCCAGGAGGGCAGGCGGTGCTCTGTGCCGGCATCGCCCAGCGGATCCCGGGCCGGCCCCTCCCCACACGGACCTGGAGGGTTTCCTGCACGGAAGCCCTCCTGACTCCTCTGGGGCCTCTCGTCCGTCCTGGAGCAGAGGCCCGGCCGCCCTTCCCAGGAGCTGTTAGAAGGCTGACCCTCCATTCCCAGAAGGAAAGGGCTATGACCCTGGGCAGGGGCGGGTCCCGGGCGCCTCTACCCGGGACACGCTCAGGCGTCTGCTGCCCCTGGGGCCGGGTGGCTGGCCCTGAAGCCGGCTGACCCTGGACCAGCGTCTGCTCTCTCCCGGGGCTGCCCCCGCCTTGTCCCCTCCTGTCCCAGCCCAGCTGCCCGCCTGTCTGCCCTGGTGCTGCTGCTCTGTGTGTTTGAGGCATGACCTCCCGTGTGGCTCTGAGGGCTGACGTGTGTGTCTCTGACCCGGGCTTGTGTGCGTGTGGGGTCCCGTCGAGGAGGGCTGTGGAGCCGGCTGCGGCCCCCGGACGGACTTGGGTCGGTCTGAGCTCTGCTGCGACCACAGCACCAGCTCGCCCGCCGCCTGGGCTCTGCTCAGTCCTGCCCTGGACGGCCGGCTGCCCTCTGGAGGGAGGGCAGCATCTTTGCAGAGAACAAAGGGGCCAGGTGCGGCTGTACCAGCTCACACCTGCCCAGGCTGCAGGGGGTACCAGAGGCCGGTGGGGGCAGTTGCTCTGGGGCAGGGAGGGCTTCTGGGCAGCTCTGGAGGGGGGAGTGTTGCTGGACAAAGGGGAGTTGGCGGCAGGTGACGGGCAGGCCGGGGGGCAGCGGTCCTTTTATTTCGGAGCAATGGGGAGGCATTGAGTGTTTGGTCAGGAGAGTGGCAGGAGGCCTGTCTGGAGGACCAGGTAAGGCTGGGCGGGCAGAGGCAGGGCAGGTTAAGAGTCTGGGGATGTGGGCCACGCCCAGTCTGGGGCAGAGGAAGGACACAGGCAGGGGCATCTCCAGGGGGCGGCCATGGCTGTGGCCACGTCGGGGGTCAGCTGGGTGAGGGCTGGGCTGGGCTGGGAGGTGGCCGCCCTGCCTCGGATACAGAGGAGAGGCCAGGACATGGCCCCAGTGGGGAGTGCTCCACAGGCGGGGGTGGGAGGGTGGAGGCTGTGGACGGAATGCCGGGGCCGGGGAGCCGAGGCTGAGCGGGCAGAGGGGTGGGGCCAGGTGGGTCAGGGAGCCGGGTGGGTCTGAGGCCCCCAAGGAGGGCATCTCCTCTTGAAGCGAGCTGGAACACTGTGAGGGAACGGCGGTGGGAGGAGTGGGCAGGGTGAGGCGGGTGGGAATGGGGGGAGGAGTACGTCCCGCCCAGATGGGGGGAGGTGCTTGCCCGCCGCCTAGTGGGTTTCAGGGGTCTGGACCTGGTCCTGCTGGTGGCTGTGGGTGGTGGGGTAGGCAGACGGCGGTGGGTGTGACCAGGACTGGGAACGGGGCCGGGAGCAGACGGGGGCCACATGTGGAGGGTCCCCGAGGCGTCTGGGCCTGATGAGGCTGGACTCCTCCTGTAGACTCCGAATGAGCCTCTCTGTCCAGCAAAACCCTTCTGTTCCCCCAAGTCTTCCAGCTGTGGCAGAGAACGTGGCTGTGCAGAGGGGCTGGAGTCCAAATATGCTGGGGTGCCATCCTTCAGGGGTGCTCGGGGGTCAGAAGCAGGGCAGGGATAGGGCCTCCCCGACCTGCCTGTCCTCCACCTGCTCCAGGCCGCAGGGTCAGGGCTGCACAGGCAGCCAGGTGCCCTCCTCCCTTCTGCGCCCGCTGGTCACCAGGGCGCCAGGCACAGCCAGAGCCTGCCCAAGAGAGGTGGGCCTGAGCGCAGGTCCCAGGGGCGGCGGCCTGAAGCCCGGCCGCCACACGCCCCTGGGTGTCTGACCCCGCAGGCCCCGCCTGTGAGCTGTGCAAGCAGAGGGAGGTGTCCCAGGACTCGGCGGCCGGACGCTCACCCCCCTCTCCTCTTGCTCCAGACTCATCCCCCCGCTGAACCAGCTGGAGCTGCTGAGGAACCTCAAGAGTAAATCTGGACTCACTTTCAGGTCAGCCGGGAAGCTCCAAGCGGGTGGGTGGGCGTCTCAGTCCTCCTGAGGGGCCCCAGCTGCTCACGGAAGACTCACCCCGGACAGCGGCCCGGGAGACTCCAGGGACGCGCTGGGACGCGCTGGGACGCGCTGGGCTTGGCTACAGTGGTTCTTTCTCTTTCCACATCTGCGACCTGGTCTGGGCTCCCGTCCCCAGAGGGGCAGGTGGTTTTTTGGGGTGGGCAGAGGAGGGGCGGGAGGGTGAGGGGTGAAGGTTGACCCAGGGCTGGGGGCTCGGCATGGCTCCTGCTGGGACCTGAGTGCCCAGTGGTGACTCTGGCGCTGGCGGCACCTGCTGCTTCTCTCTCAGGCCCACAGACTGCCAGGCGCCGAGGTTGGTTGCAGAAAGGCCTGCTGAGCAGGAGACGTGGACAGGGTGTACACCCGCCAGGCCTGCCCGGGCCCAGAGCTGCCCCTACGCAGTTCCGGTCTGAAAGCCCTCGGCGGGGCAGGGGCTTCCCGTGGGTTGGATGATGGTCTCTGCCTCTTAGAGACACGCTCGTGCCCTGGAACCCATCAGGACAATCTCGGATCATCCTGGATTTTCCGGGCGGACCCTGAGTCCGATGATGAGTGTCCTTACAAGGAGGGGGAGATTTAGAAACACAGAGGAGACAGCGCCAACCAGGAAGTGGGGAGCCCAGGGGATTCGGCCGGAAGCCAAGGGCTGCCTGCAGCCACGAAGCACCCTCCCCTGGCACCGTCGGAGGGAGCGGGCCCTGCCCGCACCTCGATTTTGGACTCTGTCCTCTGGGACTGTGAAATGACAAATGTCTGTTACACACACACGGTGGCACTTAGCTGCAGGAGCTGCAGCAAATGACTCTGACGTCACGCCTGGGAGCTGCGTGCTGCGGCACTGAACACCTCCTGCCGCGGATGTGACTTCGGAACTGGGTGACGGACTTCCTTCTAGGGTCACAGGTCCGTGCGTGGGGGACGCTCGCCCGGGAAGACGCACACCCAGAAACACACAAACCTGATTTACGTGATTCGGATGACTTTATTATTTTATTTATTATCATTGTTTTTTGAGAGGGAGTCTCTCGCTCTGTCGCCAGGCTGGAGTGCAGTGGCACCATAGTGGCTCACCACAACGTCCACCTCCCGGGTTCAAGTGATTCTTCTGCCTCAGCCTCCTGAGTAGCTGGGATTACAGGTGCCCGCCACCACACCCGGCTAATTTTTGTATTTTTAGTAGAGACGGGGTTTCACCATGTTGGCCAGGCTAGTCTCGAACTCCTGACCTCAAGTGATCTGCCCGCCTTGGCCTCACAAAGTGCTGGGATTACAGGTGTGAGCCAACATCCCCGGCCTCTGATGACTTTAGATGATGAAATTTGTGGTTTTTTGAACTGATGGGATGTGAATGAGATTTCGGACATGAGTATTTTGAGGGGCAGGCTGGAAGAAGCCGAGGAGTTGGTGGGTGGAGTCCCGGTGCTTCTGCAGTGAGCTCAGGAGGAAGTGAGGATCGGTTGTTGGAAGCTGGAGGGAAGGTTGTCCCCGTGTCGCTGCCGGGCTGTGCGGCACTGCCTGGCGGAGGCAGAATTTTTAAGTGAGGAATTTGGATGTTTAGCCAAGATTTCCAAGCCAAGTGTAGCAGGTGCAGCCTAACTTATTTCTGCTGCTCATAGTAAAATATGAGAGGAAGGAGAGGATTTCAGAATGGCACGTGGTCGATCCTGTCAAAAGAATATAAAAAAAATGATGTAAGAAACCAGAACTTGAAGGTTTGGGAGGTGCTCGGCCTGCTCAGCTTGCAAAGGGTTATAAATGAGGAGATTCACTGTTGAAAAAGCCAGCCTCGGCGAGAAGCCCATGGGTATGGCCAGACAGCCTTGTGCTGAGGATCCCACATGTGCGACCGCGCAACCATCTCAGCAGAGCCCCGGCGTGGTGGTGGATGGAGGCCCTGCATGGAGGTGGAGGCCTGGCGTAGAGATGGAGGCCTGGTGTGGAGATGGAGGCCGGGCGTGGAGATGGAGGCCGGGCGTGGAGATGGAGGCCCTGTGTGGAGGTGGATGGAGGCCCTGCGTGGAGATGGAGGCCCTGCATGGAGGTGGAGGCCGGGCGTGGAGATGGAGGCCGGGCGTGGAGATGGAGGCCGGGTGTGGAGATGGAGGCCGGGCGTGGAGATGGAGGCCGGGCGTGGAGATGGAGGCCTGGCGTGGAGATGGAAGCCCTGCATGGAGATGGAGGCCCTGCGTGGAGGTGGATGGAGGCCTGGCATGGAGATGGAGGCCCAGCGCGGAGGTGGATGGAGGCCCTGCATGGAGATGGAGGCCCTGCGTGGAGGTAGATGGAGGCCCGGCCTGGAGATGGAGGCCCAGCGCGGAGGTCAATGGAGGCCTGGCGTGGAGATGGAAGCCCGGCATGGAGATGGAGGCCCTGTGTGGAGGTGGATGGAGGCCCTGCGTGGAGATGGAGGCCCTGCATGGAGGTGGAGGCCGGGTGTGGAGATGGAGGCCGGGCGTGGAGATGGAGGCCTGGCGTGGAGATGGAGGCCGGGTGTGGAGATGGAGGCCTGGCGTGGAGATGGAGGCCCAGCGTGGAGATGGAGGCCCTGCGTGGAGGTGGATGGAGGCCTGGCATGGAGATGGAGGCCCAGCGCGGAGGTGGATGGAGGCCCTGCATGGAGATGGAGGCCCTGCGTGGAGGTAGATGGAGGCCCGGCCTGGAGATGGAGGCCCAGCGCGGAGGTCAATGGAGGCCCGGCGTGGAGGTGGAGGCCTGGCGTGGAGATGGAAGCCCGGCATGGAGATGGAGGCCCTGTGTGGAGGTGGATGGAGGCCCTGCATGGAGATGGAGACCCTGCATGGAGGTGGAGGCCGGGTGTGGAGATGGAGGCCGGGCGTGGAGATGGAGGCCTGGCGTGGAGATGGAGGCCGGGTGTGGAGATGGAGGCCTGGCGTGGAGATGGAGGCCCAGCGTGGAGATGGAGGCCCTGCGTGGAGGTGGATGGAGGCCCGGCATGGAGATGGAGGCCCAGCGTGGAGGTGGATGGAGGCCTGGCGTGGAGATGGAGGCCTGGTGTGGAGATGGAAGCCTGGCATGGAGATGGAGGCCCGGCTTGGAGATGGAGGCCCTGCGTGGAGGTGGATGGAGGCCCGGCGTGGAGATGGAGGCCCAGCGTGGAGAGGGAGGCCCGGCATGGAGATGGAGGCCCAGCGTGGAGATGGAGGCCCTGCGTGGAGGTGGAGGCCGGGCGTGGAGATGGAGGCCTGGTGTGGAGATGGAGGCCGGGCATGGAGATGGAGGCCTGGCTTGGAGATGGAGGCTGGGTGTGGAGATGGAGGCCTGGCGTGGAGATGGAGGCCTGGCGTGGAGATGGAGGTCCGGCATGGAGATGGAAGCCCTGCGTGGAGGTGGATGGAGGCCCGGCGTGGAGAGGGAGGCCTGGCGTGGAGATGGAGGCCTGGCGTGGAGATGGAGGTCCGGCATGGAGATGGAGGCCCTGCGTGGAGGTGGATGGAGGCCCGGCGTGGAGAGGGAGGCCCAGCGTGGAGGTGGCGTTATCGGGAAGGAGGTTCAGAGCGGCCTGTGTCTAACACCATCGTGTCGTATTCAGGAGGCCCTCGGGGTTTGGGGGAGCTTCACACTAGCAGAAACAGACCGGCAGGGACAGTGCTGAGTGAAGGGAGGGAGGCGTCGCACTTCTGGGAGTCTTCAGGCCGGAAACGGGCCGGTGTCGCGTCTCAGCCATGAACACAGGCTGCCCTGCAGGAAACAGGGAGCGACCCTGAGGCTCCGGCAGAGGCCAGCGGGGCGGAGGGCCCCCCGAAGTGCGTCCCCACAGCTGTGCCACATGGCGTTTGCCTCGCTGGGTTGAAGGCCGTGGTGGCTGGCGTCTCCTCTGTCGTTCTCCGTTTCTGAGCACCGGGTGCCGTCCTGCGCTGGGTGCTTTGAGCAGATGACTCGTTTTCCAGATTCACAGGTCCATGCACAGGGACGGCAGCCCCAGCGTGGCACAGCCCCGGCCTCACACGTACCTGACTTCAGTGATTCCACGACTTCAGATGATGAGACTTGGGACTTTTTGAACACGTGAGGTTTCTCCCGAGACCGAGTCTCACTGTGTCACTCAGGCTGGAGTCTGGTGGTGCGATCACAGCTCACTGCAACCTCTGCCTCCTGGGTTCAAGCCATTCTCCTCCCTCGCCTCCTGAGTAGCTGGGATTGCAGGCACCCGCCACCATACCCAGCTAATTTTTATATTTTTACTAGAGATAGAGTTTCACCATGTTGGTCAGGCTGGTCTTGAATTCCTGACTGTAGGTGATCCACCCGCCTCGGCCTCCCAAAGTGCTGGGATTACAGGTGTGAGCCACTGTGCCCAGCCAGTGGATGGGACTTCGGTGAGGTTTTGGACACAGTCCATGCTGCAGAGGGTGGAGCCTCTGGGGGATCTTGGCAGGGGTGAGTGTATTCTGAACATAAGATGGACATGAATTTTGGGGGTTTGGGGGAACACAGTGGGTTGGATGCTGGTCTCCAAAATGTCCCAGAGTGTGCAAAGGTGACCTTATTTGGAAAAAGGTCCTTACATCTGTAACCAAGCCTGGGATCTTGAGGCAAGATCGCCCTGGATCATCCGGTGAGCCCTAGGTCCGGTGACAGCTGTCCTTACGCTGACGTGGAGAACAACACGGAGAGACGGAGGCAGAGACGGGGCGGTGCGGCCACAAGCCAAGGACTCCTGGGCTGCCGGGAGCTGCAGGAGGCGGCGAGGGACCCCATGCTCCTCGGAAACACGGTCCCAGTCACGTGAAGGATCTGGAAGTGCACCCAAGAGCCTGCCTGTAACTCGGCGGGCCAGCCTGCGCACCCACGGGTGAACAAATCATGACCCAGCGATCTCACTCAATTCACCAGCACAAACAGCCCCACGGGAGACACCGTCTGTTCCGGGCCGCCTTCCCTGCAGGGCCAGGCGGGGACAGCTGGCCTTGGCGCGAAGCCTGGGCTCACTGACTGGCACAGTGGAGCCACCCCTGGAAAATCGCGAGGAAGAGAATCATCCCATTGGGATACGCGTGGAAAAGTCGGAGCGGCTCAGTCTGTCTTGAAAATTGACTGTAAATTAAACTCCCTTCTGGAGCTGTCGTCAGCAGACGCGTCCTTTTCGGAACCTTAGTGATATTGGTGTGGTTCTGATTAAAACGGGTGTCCCTCACGAGGAGGGTAGTGACTCCCAGGTCAGAAGAGCAGAGGCCCCCGTGGGTCCCTCTTCCCTCTTGGAGCTGCCTCCGCGGGCCCTGGGGTGCCCGTTCCTGGGCCTGTGGGCTCTCGGGTGGTGGGCCAGCTCCGCCCCTGCCTGGGCTTGTCTGAGACCCCTGTCCGGTGTAGCCCCCAACACATGGGACTGTGGGGGGCTGGGCTGGCTGGGGGACCCTTATGGGTGCTGAGCGGGGGGCCACTAACTCTGTTGCTTCTGTTTGAAGGAAGGAGCCCCCGCCGGAGCCGTCGCCAAGGTCAGTGCCCCGCCCCCGCTGCCCTGGTGTCCTTGTGTGCAGGGCTGTTTGGTCCTGCTCTGTGTGCACAACCTTCATGGGGGCGTGAGGGCCTCAAGGGCCCTGCCTGCGTCCAGAAGTGGGTCCTTAAGTCACCTTTCCTACTCAGCACTGTGGATCTGGCAGCTGGGGGGCTTCTCGAGTGGGATCCCCCACCTGACCACAGGTCAGGCCCCAAGGGTCTTGGAGGCAGGGGCTTTCTGCGAACACACCCCCTCCGGCTGCCCACACACGCCCGGACTCCCAGCTGGCCACAGTCGAGGCTGGCTGAGGTGGAAGCTCTGAGGGGGTTTCTGGTGCTCCTGCTGCTCTGGGTCCGGGGGAGACCAGGGCCCTCGTCCTCCAGGGGAGGGTCGGACACCTCTGCCTTGTGCACTGGTGGAGATTTCCGGCCGGTCCCCTCTCCCCGTTTGCTAAGGTCGAGGTGGGCCAGGGGTGCAGGTGCTTAGCCTGGTTCCCTCTCCCGGGCCCTGAGGTTCTGTGGGTCAGGCAGGTTGGAGATGGGACGTGTGTGGGACTCTGCTGGAGTGAAGGGTGGAGATAGAGAATCCAGATCATTTCACAAGTTAGTTCTGTGTCTGCCAAGCCCCAGTCCACCCATGCGTCAGTCTGAGGGGATCCGGGCTTCTCTGGACCCCCAGCGCCCCATCCACACGTTGCAGAGTCAGTCCAGCCTCTCGGACCTGGTGTGAGATGGATGCCTGCCTGCCCTGCACCCGCCCGAGCCCTCCTGGACTGTGATGAGACACTGGGGGGCTCGGGTGACCACCAGGGGCTCGTTCTTCCTCCCAGGGAGGCTAAAAGATCGCACCAGGGCCCAGGAGAGGCGGGTCGGCAGCACAGCGTCTGCTGGTGCCATGGCCGGAAGGGGACCAGGAGCTGGTGGTGGCCACGGCTGCAGAGGGGCCACGCCATTCTCCTGTCACTGCCTCCCCCGCCTGCTGCCGGCCCGGAGGCTGGGGGTGGCTGGGGGGATGGGCACTGTGCCCCCACAATGGGCACCTCAGCTGTGATTTGGGTGGACTCTCGGCGCTGCCGCAGGTGGACGCGAGCCTTCCCGACCCCTCCCCCGGGCCCGACCCCGCCCTTGCTGGGGGGCTGCTCAGGGCCCCACGGAGCCCTCCCTCGACGCCCCGCCCGCCCGCTCCACCTTCTCGTCTCAGCTTCTCTCTTTCTCTCTCTCCCTCCCGCCCTCCCCCCCCATCTGGACACCCTCGGCCCCCACCTGCTTTAACCCCTGTTACTGCCCTTCCCGGGCCCCTCTCGTCTGCCCCCTCTTTGGGGATGAGTCTCTGGCCCTGAAAGCAAACTCCAGGTGAGGACACTCGGGCGCCTCTGGGCTCCCACCCCTCCCCCGTCTCTTCCCCATGCTTCCGAGGGGCCCTGCCTGCCTGTGTTTCCCACGCCTCCCCCAGGGGCCCATGCCCATCCGCCCGGCCCTCGTCCTGGGACGCCTGTGGTAAGGGCATGGGGCGGCTGGGTCTGGGCGTCCGAAGCTGGCTAGGGTGCGGTGGGAGTGAAGAGCAGTCTCCGCCCATCCTGGGAGGCCACCTGCCAGGTAACGGGGTGGGTCTCTGTCCCCTGGCCTGGGGCAGCTGCAGCCCCCCCATTGCCAGTGTAGGGCTGTGCGTGGGAGGCTGTTCCGAAGTTGTTACCTGCCACGTCCCTGGGCTGCTGGCTGCGGGACCTGCTCTGCGAAGCATGAGGGGAGCTTGGTTCCCAGCACCCATCGGCTGCCCGGCCTGGCCCTGTGAGTCTGGTGTCAGCTGGTCTGGGCAGGTAGATGGTGTGGACACAGGGACCCTCACTCCCTGCTGAGACCCCCACCCCCATCCTGGCTTGTAACACAGGCACGTGGCAAGCGTCGGCTCCTGTAGGGCCCGTGGGCTGTGCTGGAGTCACAGGAGGCGGCTACGTGGGGGTCGGGTGGGGAGCCAGGCCGGCTGGGGGACTCAGGGCTGTGCTGCCCCGGGGGTCCTGGGGGTCTCTGTGGCTGGGTGGGGAGCCAGGCCGGCTGGGGGACTCAGGGCTGTGCTGCCCCGGGGGTCCTGGGGGTCTCTGTGGCTGGGTGGGGAGCCAGGCCGGCTGGGGGACTCAGGGCTGTGCTGCCCCGGGGGTCCTGGGGGTCTCTGTGGCTGGGTGGGGAGCCAGGCCGGCTGGGGGACTCAGGGCTGTGCTGCCCCGGGGGTCCTGGGGGTCTCTGTGGCTGGGTGGGGAGCCAGGCTGGCTGCAGGCTCAGGGCTGTGCTGCTCTGGGGGTCTCTGTGGCTGGGTGGGGAGCCAGGCTGGCTGCGGGCTCAGGGCTGTGTTGCTCTGGCGGGGGGGTCTCTGGCCCTGGCGGCTCCGACTTGTGCTGCCTTGCCCGCCCCCCGTCTCCCTGCCTTCTGCCCCCTCGCCTGGAGGAGCCCCCACCCCAGCTGCCCGTCCTGCTGCGCAGCTCCTCTCTTCTCAGGTATCCGTGTGGTTTGGGTGCAAGACTGCCCTCTCTCGTCTCGGTCAGCGTCTGTGGGCTGCGGGGTAGCGGTGGGCCTGCCTGCCTGCCCGGCCTTTTTACCCACGTGTGGAGCTCCCTGTGGCTGATGAGGCGGGAAGGAAGCCCAGTGCCAGCCGTGGGCCCCAGGGGGAGATGCAGCTGCTTGGGCCCCCCACAAAGCTTTGGGGGTCTTGGGGGGCTGTGGCTGCAGTGCCTCCCCCCAGCTCCCCCCAGCTCTCAGATCACACTGCCCCAGACAGGAGCTGCCAGCCACGCGTGGCTATGAAAATAATGTGTATTAAAATGGGCGCAAAATGAGAGTCTCGGGGGCCTGGGGGTGGGCATGGCTGCAGCCAGCGCTTCGGCGTCACTGGAGGACAGTCTTGTAGCAGAATCTGGCCCTGTGCCTGGGAGGGGCCTCTTGGGCAAGGCGATACTGCTGGGGTCAAAACTGGAGCTCTGGGGAGGTTTGGGGAAATAGGGCTCCGCCCCCTTCCCCAGGGGTGGGGACGGTCTCCTGGGGCCCTTGGCCAGGGGCCTCTGTGCTGGGGCCTGGGCGCCCTGGGGGTGCTGATGAGAGTCTCAGGTAATTGCCTGCCAGGCAGGCTTGGGTGCCATCGTGGCTGGGGTGCCCTGGGGTGGCTGCAGTGGGAGAGGCTTCCGTGAGCAGCCAGAGCCTCAGGCCAGGCGCCAGGTGCCGGCTCCCTCCCGCCCCTCCCGCCCTCACGTTCATGGTTAACTACCAATCAGAGTCAGCCTTTGCACCACATCCCGAAGGGCCTGGGGACCCTGAAGCCGCTTGCGTGCTAAAAAGTGGGACCAGCACAGGGCCTGGGGTGGAAGCCACCCACCCGCCCTTGGGGTCTTGCGGGCTGGCAGGGTTTGGGGAAGGGTCCAGAGCCCTCAGGCTGCCGGGCTGCCGGGCGCTGCCGTGACTAGACCTAGGCGTGGCTGTGGTGCCGCGTGGAGCGCTGCCGGCGGCGGGCCCGTGGGCAGGGGGCACCGGTGTCCAGACGCACGCGTGTGCGGGAAGACCGGCTGGGCACGTTCCTCTGGAGCCTGTGTCCTGAGCGGACGCCGTTGGCATGCCGGGGCTCCTGGGGCACCTCGTTTGAGCAGTGCCGTCTCGGGGGGCAGCAGCCAGGCGCGTGGAGCGGCCGGGGTGGGGAAAAGAAAGGACCCTGTGGTTCTTGGTGGCTGTTTTCATCTCTTGCCCAAACGTTTGCACATTGCGATGCAGAGATGAACCGCCCGGGTTTTTGGGGATATTCTGGGGAGTGTTCCGCCTTTTCTAAGGAACACCCCAGCGAGGAACCGTGAGTGTGCAGCGAAGGCACTCGCGCTGAGGGGATCCACTGAGCCCTGACGCGGCCGGCCTCGGGGTGCCCCGAACCCCGGGCCCCTCCACTTCCCGGCAGCGGCAGCTACGCCTCCCAGGTGGACCGAGATCCGCCTCTAGCTGGGGGCCTGGCGGGCGCGACAGCCTCGCCTAGCGGTTTGCAAAGCGGGACACTGCCCCCCTTCCTCCCTAAGATGTGCGCGCTCACCCCGCCCCTTCCCGGGACCCGTCCCTCCCAGCGCCTTCTGCAGCGCCTGAGGCCCTGTATTATTGTTTTGTTGGCATGAATACTGCAAAAAATAATACAGCTTTTAAGACATGGACCCAAACTGTGGCTTTGGGAGGAAAAGGTATTTTGGGAGGGAAAAAAAAAACAGTAATTTTTTTTTCCTTTAAAAATAGGGAAGTGTTTTCTTCCCCGGACGGTAGAGACGGCGGTGCGGCTTCCTCGCTGGCCTTGCTTGGGCGCAAGCTCTGCCGCTGGGGATGCGCCCGACGCCCTGGGCGGTTGTGGCGCCTCAGTTTCCCCGCTCCCGGCCACATGCTGTTGCTGGCACCCAGGACTAACTGTGCTCTCCTCATTTCCAGTAAAGGCAGCCCGTGCAGAGGGTCCCTGTGTGGATGCTGCCCCGGACGCTCTAGGTACCGCGGAACGCGCCGCACGGACTGACCGCTGCTGCACGGCTCCTCTGCCTGCCCCGCTTACCAAACAGGTTCTGGAGCAGCCAGGGGAGGCTGGCGCCCCAACCCCAGTTCCGACCCACCGACCTTGCGGTGCGGGCCCGGCTCCCTCTATTCCAGCCGCAGCTGCGCGCAGGACGGAGCTGGGTGAAGGTGATTCTTGCTCCCCACGCCAGGCGATGCCCTGCGCACAGCTGGAGGGGCCAGCCAGGGCTGTGAACCCAGCCAGGCGTTCGTGCCTCCTGGGGACCCCGACTGCTCTGCGGGGAGCGTTTCCTGGTGGTGCCACTGTAGCACCTCTGCTGTGCACCTGAGGACCACTGAGCCTCCCGGCTGCCTCGCCTGCGCGGGGCAGCTCCGTCTGTGTGTGCTGGGCTCCTCAGGGTCCCGATGCATCAAAGCCCCAGAACGCCAGAGGCCCTCGGCTTTCTCTTCCTACAACAGGCCTGAGGGCGGGTGGAAATAGGACGGGGGAGGAGCCGCCCGCTTTGCACCGTGGGTTCCTGGCCTGCACCGTGACCTGCACCTCCCTGCCCCGGTGTCCTCTGTCTGCAGTCCTGCACTGGGGGCCCCTCCCTCCTGGCCAGCATGGCCCAGCAGGGTGGAGGCGGCTGTGCCGTGCCTGCGCGGGGCTCACCTCTGAGCGTGCTGGGCCCGGAGGGTGGGGCGCTGCATGCTGCCCCCTGCATCCGTGCATGCTCCGGACCCTGCTCCACCGGGCCCACCGGCCCCGCCCCTCTCCCTGCGACTTTGCGCTGCGGCTTGTGCTTCGGGGTCGGTGCTTGCGGGATCCCCAGAGAGGGAGATGGGGTGTGGGCTGCCCGGAACGAGGCTGCTTGGACTCTGGCAGGCTGTCCTGTGTGTCCAGAGCGTCTGTGTTCAGGGCGTTTCCGGCGCAGGCTGGTTTGGGGTGGGGGCTGAGGTCAGGCTGCTTGGGGACTGAGGGGTTTGGAAGTGGGGCTGGGAGCCCCGGCCAGAGCACGGCCCACGCCAAGCCCGTCCTGTTTTGAGCAACCCCCACTGGAGGCCCCTTCATGTGCCGGCTCCCTGGGCGTCGCTGGTCCCAACACCAGCTGGGCGGGAGTCTGGATGCCAGCTCCCCCGCCTCCCGCTCCCTGCAGGCCCCGCACATCTGAATGTCACCACGGGGACGGCGGCAGGCAGCGTGGCGGTGAAGCGCAGGTGCCGGGGACACCCCTCGAGCACCGAGGGCCGCTCTGGTCGAGGGCTCCCCCCGGGCGGGCGGCAGCTTTCCGTGTTTGCTTGTTCTTGGCTTGGGCGCCGAGGGAAGGCCTGTGAGACCACGCGCGCTCCTGGCGGCCGAGGCGGGCTGGCGGGGTCGGGTGTCCGCGGCATGGAGCCTCACCAGCTGTGCTTGGAGGGTGCAGGGCCCGGGTCCTGGTGGAGGCTCCAGGGAGGGAAGGACGCGTCCAGGCCCCGCCACCTGCTTCTCCCCGGCAGAGCCTCCCTTGCAGATCTGAGGTGGGAGGGAAGCCCCAGGGCCGGGACGGCAGGGCCCTGCTGAGGCCGGGGCGGGCTCCTTCCTGCCGGCTCCGTCTTCCTGTGGCTCCGCCGTGGTGGCTGGGGCGGTGCACGCTGGCTGCGTCCCGGAGGCCCCGGGGCTGCGCTGGGCAGGGGGTCCGGCAGGGCGTCCCCGCCACTTGGCGGGGCTGTGGCTGCCCGTGGTGGCCGGGGGGGGGGGTTCCCCACTGGACAACGGGACGCATGCGTCGGGCCGGGTCCTCTCGCCCAGAGCCGTGGAATCCACGCTGCTCCTGCTGCAGCTCCCGGCGGCTGCACGTCTGTGTGGCGCACGGGTGTCTGAACAGCCACCTCCAAGGCCGCAGGCAGGAATCTGCTGCTGATTCCTCACCGTGCGCCGTTCCCACTGCAAGCCGTCATCACCGGGCTCCCGAGACCAGCAGGGGGCAGCCCGGAAGCGGCAGCTGATCCGACAGCTGCGCCCCCCCACCCGGTGCTTCGCCAGCGGCTGTGTGAAAGGAGGTGGCTGCTTCTCTCTCTTTGATGACTGGACCTGGCTGTGTGGAGACCTGGAGAGGGGAACTCAGTCTTCCAGTGACCCCCACTTGCCCTGAGGCCTGAGCAGGGCCAGGAGGGGCCCGTTCCTACCTCTGAAATGGCTCGTGCAGTGGAAGAGGAGAGAACATTCCAGAAGCCAGAGTCCCGCCAAGCCTGTGCGGAGGTGCTCCCTTGGCCCCCAACGGGTTCTCCTCGGCAACCTGTGCTTCTGTTGAGTCAGGGACCAGAGGCCCCCACGGCACCAGGACTCGGGGCACCCCTGGCCCCCATGGCGTGTTGGCCCTGGGCAGTGCAGGGTGTGGACTCAGGGCTGGGGTCCTGAGCGAGCCAGTACCATCCGCTCCAGATGCCCCCAGCACACACTTCAAGGCTGAGGGGTCTCGGTCCTCTCTGTCTCTGCTTCCCCTGCTGGCATGGCATCCAGGGGCTTCGTTCTTCCTCTCAGAGACCTCCGAGTGGCCACAGATGGTCTGGGCATGGTCTGGGCAGTTGCCTGCTGCCTGGGGGATAGGGTGGGAGGGCGGCCAAGCCTGCAGTGTGGAGGCTGGTGGATGGGCGTGGTGGGCGCTCCGTTGTAGCACGTTGTCTCTGTGCCGTCTGGTGGGCCTGTCTCTCTGGCTGTGGGTCCCGGTGAGGGCTGATGCTGGCCTCTCACCCGGGCCTCGGCCCCTCACTGTTGGCTGGGGAGCCGTCATGGAGCCCAGAAGGTATTAGAGTGCATCAGGGACCCACTGGGCCTCCCCACCCAGGGGCTTGTCTCAGGCCCGAGGAACGGTGCTCTGGGCCCAGAGCCGTCCTGAGAAGTTCCATGGCTGCTAAGCATGGCCGGGCGTTAATGGGTCCCCAGTTCACAGGAGTCCCACTGTCCTCAAGGGAGCTGGGGGCTCTGATGCTTTCCAGACCTCGGGAGGCACATCTGCCTGGGGTACCCCAGCTGCAGTGAACCCCCACCCCCACGGCACCCAGAGGACGCTGGAGCTGAAGAACCCGGGTGCAGACTCGTCTCCTTGGTCACCAAGAAACTCAGGGACAAGGCAGCCTCAAGGACCCCCGAGAATCCGGAGCTGGAGGCCCAGCCAGACACAGCCACAAATCCTGCTTCACGTCTTGAGGGCCGAGCGCCGGGCCACCGTGCGGCTGCCTCAGAGGCTGCCTCCCCGCCCCCTGGGGCCAAGACTCCGACCTCCGACCCAAGGCTTGTTGCCTGAGGCCCTGCTGGCGGAGGAGCCGTCATCCATTCCCTCCTTCCAGAAGCTGAAGGAGCAGTTCTCCGTCCGACGCCCCTGGCGGGAGGGGTGCTGTGCAGGGGAGGCCTGAGCCCCCCGAAGCCCGCCCCTCCAGGTGGCCCCCAGCGTCTGGGAAAGGCCTGGGCGTGGCTGCACCAGCGTCAGGCTGCAGACTTGGCCCCCCATGTCCTGATTGTCCCCCAGACCCTCGACCCTTGACTCTGGGCAGGAGAGGGACAGGCGGAGGGAGGGAAGGAGGGAGGCTGCTTCGTGGGGGCAGTTACGGCTGTGGAAAGTCCACAGGGGAAACCACAGGCGAGGCTGAGGCGGACGCGGGTGCCCGGGAAGAGCGCAGCCCGAGCGCCGCTGGGTGAGGGGCCGGCGGGGCAGCGCGAGGAGGGCTCCGGCGCCCGCGGTAGGTGGCCGAGCGGGACGTAGGAGCCCACAGACGTGGCCACGCTCTGGCCACGCCGGCGCCAGCCCGGACTCCCCTCCCTCCTTCCTGCTGGGTGCCCGGTCCTCAGACCTGGGTCTTCCTCCCGTCGCACGGCAGGGTCTGCCGAGAGCCAGCGCGGCCTGCCTTCTCTCGGGAGTGACTTCTCTCGCTGTGTTTCTGTTTGTCGGTTCCCGTGGGAGCAGCCAGAAGGTCAGTTTGAAAGATCGTGTCTTCTCCAGCCCTCGAGGTGTGGCTGCCAAGGGGAAGGGGTCCCCGCAGGCCCAGACGGTGCGACGGTCCCCCAGCGCCGACCAGAGCCTCGAAGACAGCCCTAGCAAGGTGCCCAAGAGCTGGAGCTTCGGCGACCGCAGCCGGGCACGCCAGGCTTTCCGCATCAAGGGCGCCGCATCTCGGCAGAACTCAGAAGGTGGGTCCGGCCTCCTCAGCGCCCCCCGATCTGAGGCTGAGTCCCTCCGGGGATGGACCCTGGCACCCAAGCTACCAGGACCCCCTGAGGCATCGCTGCCTCTTTCGCTTGCTCTGGGCGTGGAAACCTCCCTCCCCACTTTCTAAAACTGAAGTGAAACTTGGGCAACAGAAAAATGAACTATTTGAAAGTATAGGCCAGGCGCGGTGGTTCACGCCTGTAATCCCAGCACTTTGGGAGGCTCAGGTGGGCAGATCACGAAGTCAGGAGTTTGAGACCAGCCTGGTCAACACAGTGAAACCCCATCTCTACTAAAAATGTAAGAGTTACCCGGACATGGTAGCGGGTACCTGCAGTCCCAGATTCTTGGGAGGCTGAGGCAGAAGAATCGCTTAAACCCGGGAGGCGGCGGCTGCAGTGAGCCAAGATCGTGCCACTGCACCCGAGCCTTGGGGACAGAGTGAGACTCTGTCTCAAGAAAGAACAAAGTGTAGAAATCCAGTGGCATTTAGCACATTCACAGCGAGGCTGTCGTCACCATCTCAGCTGGTTTTAGAAGAGTCTCATAATCGCAAATGAAAACCCTGTGCTCCTCAGCAGTCGCCGCGTCCCCGCCTCAGCCCCAGCACCTGTGGTCTCGGGCACGCGGGTCAGCGGCTCCTGCGTGGGGACGTCAGCTCTGGCTTCCTTCTCTGAGCCTGGTGTCAGCGGCACGTCCACAGTTAGCGTCCTGAGCACGGAAGCGCCGCGTTCTGTTCAGCCACTGGCAGGGATGTCCTTGGATGCCCACATCGGCCACGCCCTGTGGCCACAGCCTGCCGGGGAAGGTCCTGGCCCGAGAGCCACTGATGCAGTGGGACAGGTTTCTGGAAAAGCAGGGGCACCCGTGGGGTACCCCGGGGAGCCTTGAGGGGCTTTCTGGTGTTCTGTCTGGCCGGTGGGCCCTGCAGGACCCCACGAGTGGGTTTCCTGTCCTCCTCGACCCTTCACGGCCTGTCTCCTTCACCCCAGAAGCAAGCCTCCCTGGAGAGGACGTCGTGGATGACAAGGCCTGCCCCTGTGAGTTTGTGACTGAAGACCTGACCCCGGGCCTCAAAGTCAGCATCAGAGCCGTGTGGTGAGGACTTGCCCAGCAGGGATCCTGGGGGAGGGAGGAGGGGCCTCCTGTCTGTGGTCACATATGCTGCGGTGCTCATGGTGCAGGACAGCAGCCAGGAGACGGGGTCTGCCCGGAAAATAAAGAGCCAAGCCGCGGGCGGGCCTGGCTGATCATCCCAGGTCTGCTCTTCCTGGGACTCCAGCAGGCCTTGGGCGGGACGCCGGTTCAGCGAGAGGCCTGGGGCCTGGGTCTGCCTGGCTTAGGAGGAAGCTCAGCCCCCTGTGTCTGGGGTGGCACAGAGTCCAAGGGGGCATGGCCAGGCCTTGAAGCCTCCGCCGTCCCAGGAATAGCAGGGACCCCGAGGCCGGGCTCTTCTGTGCGTGGAGCCGGTGGGTGGCAGACAAGAGGGGTGAGTCCAGCCACCTCCAGGGGCCAAGGTCTCAGAGGTGCTGGGAAGGCGACAGGCAGGCGGACACGGGGCCAGCCTGGCGCGTGTGGCCGGGGTCTCTGGCTCAGGGCTCACGCCCCTCCCCCCCACAGTGTCACAGGCAGGTGGAGATGAGACCAGCCTGGCGCGTGTGGCTGGCGTCTCTGGGTCTCCGGCCCAGGGCTCACTGTCGCCCCCCACTCCTGCAGTGTCATGAGGTTCCTGGTGTCCAAGCGGAAGTTCAAGGAGAGCCTGCGACCGTACGACGTGATGGACGTCATCGAGCAGTACTCCGCCGGCCACCTGGACATGCTGTCCCGCATTAAGAGCCTGCAGTCCAGGCAAGAGCCCCCTCCAGCCTGTCCCGCAGGGGAGCAGGGGACGAGAGCAGGGTGGGCGGCCGCGCCAAAGCCCGGCGTGGCCCGTGGAGGGAGCGCAGGGGGCGTGCAGGGTGGGGCCTCCTCCCCCACCCAGGTCGGCCTCTGTCAGCTTCGGTGCTGTCTTCCAAGTCTGTTGTAAGATTTCTGTTCTCTCCACCTCTCCCCAGCCACACTGCGGGGGGCAAGTGTGTGATGTGTTTGTGCACACATGCACGTGTGCGTGCACGGATGTGTGGGTCCCTGAAATGTGCGTGTGCGTGTATGTGCAAGTGTGTGTGGGGTTGTGTGTGCCCGCGGCCTGTGCGCTCTGCCATGTGCACGCGTGTGTGTTGGGGGTGGAGTAATTCCACTGAGAGACACAGCTGCAGGGTGGACCCCAGCAGCTTCTTCCACGCTGCTCTCCCGTGAAGGGAGGCCGCTCCTGAGCAGGGCCAGCACCATGCGTGTCAGAACCCCTGTGCCTGCTCCAGGAGTCAAACGTACATTCATGTAGAGACACACAGTCAGGGCTGGGCACACTATGCACACACGTGCACCCCACCTACAGGCGTGTACCAGCGTGCACACACAGACCCACATTCCCTCTCCCACACGCATGTCCACAGAACCGTGCTCCAGCCTGGTGCCCACACATGGGTGTCCCCGAAATCCATACACATGCTGGCGTGTGTGCAACCTTAGGCACATACAAACGAGCACATGCCATGAGTGTGTGTATCTTTCCTGTGGGGGACACACGGTTCTTGGGAGTTTCTCCTGCAGTAGGGGACACGCTCCTGCCTATCAGGGTGCCCTTCGTCTCCCAAGCCCCCAAGCAAGGCTGCAGCAGTTTTCCAGCCCTGGGAGTGAAGCTGGGCCCCCATTACAGGGGAAGACTGAGGCGCTCAGGGACAGCCCTGGGGGGCACAGCCCAGCTCAGACCCTCCAGCAGAGTCAAGCGCTCATCTGAGGGGTCTAGGGCCCATCGTGGGGCTCCTGCTCCGTCCCGCTTCAGGGGGCCCGGGAAGGGGTGCCTCCAGCCTTAGCCCACTCCTGCTGTTCAGGGGTCAATGAGACATCCCCTGCGCCCCCTCCCCCGGGCTCCAGCTGTGAGTCCTCCTTCCCAGCATCCTCTCCGGAGCAGTGACCAGCCTTGTGCTGCGTGTGCACGTGTGTGTGTGCATGGGCGCATGCGTGCACGTGTGCTCACGTGTTTGTACACGTGTTTACATGTGTGCGTGCTTGTGTGCATGTTTAATGTGTGCATGTTCTGGCATGTTTGTGTGCATGTGTTCGTGTGTGCATGCGTGTTTGCACGTGTGTTAGCATGTTTGCATGCGTGTGCGCGTGTGTGCATGTGTGTGCACATTTGCGTTTGCATGTGCATGTGTGCGTGTTTGTATGCACGTGTGCGTGTGTGCATGTATGTTTACGTGCATATTAGTTTGCATGCGTGTGTTCGTGCATGTGTGCCCGTGTGTGTTCGTGTATGTGTGCGTTAGTGTGTTCACGTGCATATGGGCGTGTGCATGTGTGCGTGTTCACGTGTGTGCATGTGTGCGTGTGTGTGCATGTGCCTATGTGCGAGTGTGCGCATTTACGTGTGCGTGTGTTCGTGTGTTTACGTGCATATGTGCGTGTGCGTGTTCGTGTGTGCATGTTTGCATGTGTGCGTGCGCGTGTGCATGCCCGAGTGCGTGCATGTGCGCACGTGTTCATGTTTGCATGCATGTGTGCATGTGCCTGTGTGTGCGTGTGTGCACACATTCGCTTGTGTGCGTGTGTGCACGTTAGCGTGTGTGCATGTGTTCACGTTTGCAGGCATGTGCGTGTTTGTGTTCACGTTTGCACGCATGGGTGCGTGTGCACGTGTTCGTTTGCTGTGTGTTAGCATGTGTTCGTGTGCAGTCGTGTGCGTGTGCATGTGTGTGTGCATGTGCGTGTTCACGTGTGTGCGTGTGTGTGCATGTGTTTGCACGCACGTTAGCATGTGATGGCATGCATGTGTGCGTGTGCGTGTGCCTGTGTTTGCACGCACATGTTAACGTGTTGGTGTGCATGTATGCGTGTGCGTGTTTGTGTGTGCACGTGTGTGCGTGTGCGTGCATGTGTGCATGTGCGTGTGCGATTGTGTGCACGTGTGTGTGTGCGTGCATGCGCACACGTGTGCATACGCTCTCGTGTTGACTTTGTGCTTTGCCTCCACGTCTCTCTGCAGCTGTTTTTGTTCACCGGGATCTTTTGTCCTAAATCTTGCATTTTCCTTCCCTTTCTCTCTGGACAAACAAACCACGCAAACAAACCACCAGAGACCGCAGGCGTCCTGTCCACTCCCGACGATGCGTGTCATGTCGCCCGCAGCGGTCCGTCCGGTACTGGCTCCCGCTGCCGGCGTCTCCCCAGCACGGCACGCTCCGGGATGTGGCACCTGGGTGACCGCGGTGGGGCCGCCCGCCGCCTGCTCCCGAGCCCGACGCTTTGCTGGAGACACGGGAAGGCCTTGGCGAGTCCCAGGCCCGCCGAGGTGGCGCCCGCTCTCCTGGGAGAGCGTCTGTTTTTACGGAGCCTCGCCGTCGCTTCCGTGGGCGTTTCTTCCGTTTCCGCCAGTTTCTGGCCTACTCCTCTTTCGTGTGGCTTTACGATGCATTTTGCTGGTGTCTCTTTTCTTGTTTACTCTGCCAGGATAGATATGATTGTGGGTCCCCCACCCCCTTCAACTCCCCGGCACAAGAAGTACCCCACCAAAGGACCCACGGCCCCTCCGAGAGAGTCACCCCAGTACTCACCTAGGTTAGGATGCCAGCGCCCCCCGACGTGTTTGTGGAACGGCCGGCCCCTTCGCTCCAGGCCACATGACGGCAGCACCCCGCACCGCCCATTCCCCGGGACGCAGGGATGTTCGGGTGTCCTCTGTTCCTGACAAAGCGACATGAGGGAGAAGGCCCTTCCCCCACCAGGTCCCCAGGCAGGCTGCGCCCAGCGTCAGGACTGCCAGGGGCCCCGAGGGCTGCTCCTGACTGGCGCCCTGGGGAACCAGGGCTCTGTGAGACTTCCCTCTGGGATTGGGAGGTCCCTGGGCAGCACCTCCAGGATCAGATGCAGTCAGACGTGTAGGGACGTCCTGCTGGCCCTGCTCCTGTCCCCTGGACAGGCGTCTCCTGGCCGAGGGCCCTCCAGCCTCCCCCGGGACTGACTTGCCCCTCAGCACTGCCCACCGTGGTGGTGGGTCCTGGCCACGTGCACGGCCCGGACCTGGGCGCTGTGTGGCTCTGAGCAGGTGGAGTCACGTCTTGGTGACTCTTCCGTCTCTTGTAAGATACAGACGGTCACAGCATCTACCCTTGAGCCACTGGGAAGAATACGTGAGGAAACCCTGCCGGGCGCCCAGGCAGGCGTGCGCTCCGAGTTCTCGCACAGCTTCCAAGCTGTCAGCTAATTAGTGTTTCTGATGAGGGACACGGAGACGCCCCGGCTGACGGGCAGAACGGAGGTGCGGCCCAGCCCCATGGGAGCCAGTTCTTTAGCGATTCAGACTTTCCAAGGCCTTCCTGCCTTCCAGGGACCACTCAGATCAAGGTTATTGCCCGTCTTCCAGCAAGTCTGATTGGCTGAGGGAGAGCGGAGCCCCCGGGGCAGAGGCCTGGAGGCTGAGCACAGGCGCCCGGGCCCTCCCTGGCAGCTCAGGGCAGAGGGGCTCCCGGCACGGCGATGCCAGTGTCTCGGCCAGTGAAGCCCAGGCCTGAGCTGGTGGAGGCAGCGTCTGGGGCCCGTCTGACCCCTCCTTCCTTTGTGGGGGTTTCTGCCTGTGAGGTTGAGGGTCCGAGCGCTGGACACCTCAACCCTGTGCTCCTTCCACAGGAAAGGGGTTTCTGGGAGCAGGCAGGGCTGTGCCTGCTGCTGCCCAACCCAGGGTTGCCCCGGACAGCGTTTGCCGAGTTCCCTGCTGTGTGGTGCCCCCAGGCCCGAGGGTGCTGTGCCCTGAGGCTGGTCCTCCGTCCATCCTCCTGTGCCACAGGAGGTGGCAGCTGGGTGTCCAGGGCTGTGAGCTGGGAAGGTCCTACAGCCAGGAGGCGTGCAGGGTCACACAGAGAGGCTGGAGGGACAGGTGGATGATCTCCCATCCCACGGGCACTGAGCACTCAGGGGTCGAGTCTCCCCCAGCCTGGGGCCTAGGGCAGGAGGGGCATAGGGTCCTCAGAGGAGCCCCGGCAGCAACTCCAGGCTGAGCCCGTGGCCAGGGCTCCTATCGGGGCTGAGCAGGCGGGCGGCCGGTCGTGTGGCAGGGGCGAAGGTGCTGAGCATCTGCCTGGACTGTGTGACGCTGGGAACGCCAGGGACCCCGTCTCCTCCATTTCCACTGGCGTCTGCTCGGAGCCAGAGGGTCCCTCCTGCCATCCGTCCCCTCCCACCCGCCTCCCGCCACCCTGGCCCTTTGCATGAGTCCAGCATGAAGCCCCGTGGAGCATGAGGAGCTGCTCTGTGGCCGACGCCAGCCTGAAACCCCCTCTGTTTCCCACAACAGAATCAAGAAAACACCTCTAACCCGTCCCCCCACCCCCACAGAGGCAGGTAGGGCGGCCCCGTGGCAGGAAGTGGGGCCTCGGCCCCGTCTGCTGGTGTGGGGCACACTTCTCCCACCAGGCCCCCGTCCAGAGGAGCCTCAGGGGCTGTGGCGTTGTTCGGTGGGTCCCGCTCAGCCACAACCTGTCTGGAGCTGCCCTTGTCCAGCTGGGCTTGTCGACTGGTCGCAGGGGCCTTGCTTCCGCGTGAGTGCCCACAGAGCTGCAGGTCCGAGCCCACACCCAGCCAGCCCAGCATCTGTGGAAGCCCCAGTTCTGAGGATGAAGGAGCCTCCCTCCCTTCTATTGTCATGAGTGACCTACGGCCTCTTGGAGATCAGCTCAGCTGAATTCTGAATCCTGCACACACATACGAAAACATGCACACTTGCACACATGAACACGTACACGTGTGCACACACTAACTTGTGCAGTGCGCATGAAGATGCCCACATGCACCCCGAGCTCACACATGTGCACATACGCACACAGACATGTACACACAGACCCTTGCATGAGGTCACACACGCACCGGGTGCACACACACCCTCACATAAGGACATAAATGCACCCTGACCACACACACATGCACACACCCTCACATGAGCACACACATGCACCCAGACCACACACGTACACACACACCCTCGCATGAGGACACACGTGCACACACACCCTTGTATGAGCACACACAGGCCCCCTGAGCACACACACGTGCACACACCCTCACATGAGCACACACATGCACTCTGACCACTCACGTACACACACACCCTCGCATGAGGACACACGTGCACACACACCCTTGTATGAGCACACACAGGCCCCCTGAGCACACACACGTGCACACACCCTCACATGAGCACACACATGCACTCTGACCACTCACGTACACACACACCCTCGCATGAGGACACACGTGCACACACACCCTGGTATGAGCGCACACACGTACACACACAGACCCGGCCGCTCTGTCTACCCTCCTCTGGTTTGTGCGTTGGTTCCTGTGCTGTCTGCGCCCTCCCTCCTCGTCCTGGTGCATGAGCCGCTGCTCACGCCTTTCTGCTTCTGTCATTCCCGCTGCAGACATTTAACTCTGTCCCCATCAGACCTGGAGGGGCCGATGGCCCCAGTGGCACATTACGGGAGTAAAGCTTCGGAGTGGGGCTGGGTACGGGGAAGGGGAGGGGCCCTGCAGTGGGAGACCCTCTGGGCTTCTGTGGGCTGTGGGGCCAGCGGGCCTTGGGCAGAAAAGTGGGTGAGCAGGTAGGGCCGGCTGGAAGGGCGGCATGGAGTGGGAGCCCTGGGAGGCAGCCGGCGACCTGGCCCAGTGGGAGCTTCCTCACTTTACTCCTCCTAATGTGCCAGGCCCCTCGGGGACGGAGCGGGCAGGAGCAGACCCTCGCAGTGCCAGAAGGCGGCTGAGGACAGGGGGCACCCCATCCATCTGTCCTGGCACCTGCTGCCCCCCTGGTCGGCTCTGGCTGGGCCTGCAGCCTGGACCCCGGGCACTGTGGCCTGGCCCAGGAGGAGAGGGCAAGGGCCTGCTGCACCCACCCAAACTCATGCTTTGGGGTCTCTGTTCCCGGTAGAGTGGACCAGATCGTGGGGCGGGGCCCGGCGATCACGGACAAGGACCGCACCAAGGGCCCGGCGGAGGCAGAACTGCCCGAGGATCCCAGCATGATGGGACGGCTTGGGAAGGTGGAGAAGCAGGTGCGGGAGGCCGGCCAGGCGGGAGGGCCGTGGGCGGGAGGGCCGGGGGCCGGGGGCCGTGGGCAGGAGGGCCGGGGGCCGGGGGCCGTGGGCGGGAGGGCCGTGGGCTGTGGTGCTGCTGTCCCAGGGCCCCTGTGGTCAGCCCGTGGCAGCGTGGGCTTCAGGGGCTGGGTGTCCCAAGGAGTCTTCACGGGAGGGTTCCTCAAGTCTAGGGGGCACATGGCCCTGTCACCACTGACAGCTGCTCTGGGCAGACCCTCACATCCCCAACGAGCCCCCCACTCCCAGCTTGGGGTGCCTTTCCTCCTGACAGTACCGAAGGCCCAAAGAACCCAGGAATCCTGGGTGGGGGTCGCCGGGAGGCGGGTCCTCGGGGTCTCATTGCACCCGTCCGGTCTTCCTCCTCTCTGTCTTCCTTGCCCGCCACCCCAGCCGTTCCCTACTGGGGGTGCATTCCCAGAAGCCACCACTCAGGACTCTTGTCTCGGGGTCCGCCTCTGAGAGCTGGGCCTGAGCAGTGAGTGAGGAACTGCCGGGTCCTGCCCGGTGGGGTTTTTACTGAAGGGGGTTCCCTGGTGGGCAGCAGGAGGGCCTGGCTCTGAACGCAGGCCCAGGTGGAGCCGGAGGCTGAGCCGCAGGGGTCTGGGAAGGAGCAGAAGCGGCTCCTAGGCCTCCTCTCTGGCTCCTCCAGCTTCCAGGGAGCAAGGGTCCCCCTCGCCCCTCCCTCCGCACCTTTCCCGGGAGCAGCCCGGGTCTCCCCATTTCCTGGGAGCGGCCCGGGTGCTCCCTCTCTGGGACTGGCCCCGGCAGTGCAGCCCAGCAGTCCATCTTGCAGGTCTTGTCCATGGAAAAGAAGCTGGACTTCCTGGTTAACATCTACATGCAACGCATGGGCATCCCCCCCACGGAGACTGAGGCCTATTTCGGGGCCAAGGAGCCGGAGCCGGCGCCGCCGTACCACAGCCCGGAAGACAGCAGGGAGCACGTGGACAGGCAGGGCTGCATCGTCAAGATCGTGCGCTCCAGCAGCTCCACCGGCCAGAAGAACTTCTCAGCGCCCCCGGCCGCGCCCTCCGCGCAGTGCCCGCCCTCCACCTCCTGGCAGCCGCAGAGCCACCCGCGCCCAGGCCACGGCACCTCCCCCGTGGGGGACCACGGCTCCCTGGTGCGCATCCCGCCGCCGCCCACCCACGAGCGGTCCCTGTCTGCCTACGGCGGGGGCAACCGCGCCAGCACGGAGTTCCTGCGTCAGGAGGACGCCCCGGGCTGCCGGCCCCCCGAGGGGGCCCTGCGGGACAGCGACACGTCCATCTCCATCCCGTCCGTGGACCACGAGGAGCTGGAGCGCTCCTTCAGCGGCTTCAGCATCTCCCAGTCCAAGGAGAACCTGGACGCTCTCAACAGCTGCTACGCGGCGGTGGCGCCCTGCGCCAAAGTCAGGCCCTACATCGCGGAGGGCGAGTCGGACACCGATTCGGACCTCTGCACCCCGTGCGGGCCCCCGCCACGCTCCGCCACCGGCGAGGGCCCGTTTGGTGACGTGGGCTGGGCCGGGCCCAGGAAGTGAGGCCCCCCCAGCGCCCTGCCTCCACGGTTTCGAGGCGGGAACCCTCTGGGGCCCTTTGCTTAGAATAACAGTGTGGCTGGGAAGTAGGCCCTGGAGGGGCCCGTGTGGCTGAAGGACGGGGCTCCTGGCAGTGACCTTTTACAAAAGTTATTTTCCAACAGGGGCTGGAGGGCCGGGCAGGGCCCCGTGGCTCCGGAGCAGCAAGGCCGCCCTGTGCGCTCGGCTCGGGGCTGCAGTGGACTTCGTTGCCGGCGTGAGGAGGGCAGGCGTGGTGACAGGCCGGGGGACGCCAGGGCGTGCGGTGGGCTCTGGGAGCAGAGCCTGGGGGGGCGGGTCGTGAGGGCAGGCCTGTGGGCCGTGGGGCCTGGCGGGGTTTTGGTCGGCTGCAGGCGGGCGTGGCCAGCCCTCACACCTGGTCCCCCAAGTGGTCTTTCCTGTCCCCCACCTTGGGGGTCCCAACGACAGAGCTGCTGGTCGGTGTGTTCTCCCTGCACCTTCCGGGATCTGAGGGTCTTTTGATGGGAGCCAGCCCCGAGCTGGAGGCCGTGGCCGCAGCTGAGGAACGGGTGGGGCCGGGGAACAAATGAGCCCAGAGTGGACATTTCACCCTTTGGGCTTGGCCTCTCTCGGAGGGCCCAGCTCTGCAGGGTCTTCAGATAGAGGGCCCTGGGGGCTCCTGTCGCCTCACCCTGGGCTCTCCCGGGACGTGTGAGAGCCAGCAGTACCCCAGCCTTGGAGACCTGAGGGCCAGGACCCCAAATCCTCTCCTCTCTCCTGACTGCCCTGGCCGGGTGCTACCTGGTGAGCAGGCCTCACGGCCCTTCGCCAGGGCTCCACTTCACCTGTGCCCACCAGTGCCCCGACAGACCTGGGCAGGGCAGGGCCATGATGCAACAGGCTGGGAAAGCCTCCACACCCACTGGACACCCACATGGCCAGCACAGGCCGCCCTCCCTGCCTTCCCGGAGGAATTCACCTCTGCCTCTGCCAGCTGAGGGCCCTCCCTGGCTTGCCTGCCCCTTCTCCTCCACTGACCAGTCCCTTAGCTGGGGCCTCTTGGCATCTTGGGCCTCAGGGATGCACTATCGCATGTCCCTCCAGTTGTGGGCACTGTGGCCCTGCGGGCAGCCAGCTTCGATGGGGGAGTGAGTCCGGCCACTGAGAGGCAGAGCGGGCCCTTAGCGCCAGGCTTCAGCACCCGAGCCCAGGAGCATCTGGCATTTGGGGTGATGGCGTCACAGGAGGGCCTGGGCTCCCTAGGAGTGAGCAGGGCTGGAATAGCAGAAATACCACACCCAGCAGTTGAGGAGGAGCCCTGGCGTGTTCCTCCTCCGCCTTTGTTTTAAGTTCAGTTCGCTGGGCTGGGAGCTTCTGGGGCCCTGAGGTCAGCCAGGGACCCCGACCTGAGCGGGAGGACTTAGAAGAAAAGCATCTGAAGGTTGTACGCCCCTGGCTCAGAGTCTTTGGGGAGCCCCTGGCGTCCATTGTCGGGGGGCTGCTGCCCTGGCCTCTGTGCCTACCCCAGCCCAGCCAGGACACTCCCAGGCCCCACCATCCGGGTGCATCTGCTCGTCCCAAAGAGGTGCCGGCTGGGAAGACTCAGAAGCCACTGTCCAGGTTCCCGTGGGCTATCTGCTGTGTTCCCAAGGGCAGCGTGTGTGGCCTCGGGCCCTGTGTCCCGTCTGGTGAGACCGTGGCTGTGTGTTTCCCCGGGTGGTGCCCTTGCCCTCCCCCACTAGCTCATGAGAGCCCTGGGTCCATGTCCCATCGTGGGACAGGGAATCTGCACCTGCTCTTTCCTCCACAAAGCCTCTGAGGCATGACCACCTGGGCACAGGCGGGGGTTCTGCAGCAGGGGGAGGACAAGGCTTCTCTCCTAGAAGCCTGCTGCCCAGGAACTGGGGCTAGATTCATGTCCAGCAAGGAGCACGTGGCGTGTCCCCTGGAAAGTCTCTGGGCCCTGGGAAGATGGAGGGTGCATGTCCTGGGTTGGTTGGGGTCCCTGTTTTGGGGAGACAACAGCGTAGAGGCTCTGTCTTGGGCTCCCCAGGACTCTAGCCTGAGCAGGGTAGCCACCTGCTGCCCAGGCCCCCCCTCAGAGAAGTGCGGCGGGAAGGAGGCTGGAGGTGGCGTGGTGCTGCTCGGGGTTCTGTGTGACCAAGTGTGGCCAAGGGCCAGTGCCACCTCATGGCAAAGAGCTCCCACGGTGTTCATTAGATTGCACATCTTCACATGCCACTGGCTCACACACACCTGCTTGCAGGCATACACATGCACGCTTACACACATGCACAGAAGCATGCAGGACACACCCATGTACACAGGCATGCATACAGGCATGCACACATGCTTACACACGTGCTCACCAACGCCTGCATACAGGCATACACATGCATGCTTGTACAGGTCATAGCACATACATGCACACACGTGTACAGACCATGCACAGTGCATACATGCACAGACATGCCTGCATACAGGTATACATGTGTACTTGCACATGCTCACACATGCACACACAGATCACACAGCACACACGCACACATGTATGGACCACACTACACACATATACACACATGCACAGGCCATACAGCACACACACGTGTGCACAGACCGTGCAGTGCATGTGTACATTCAAGTGCACAGACCACATGGCACACACATGGCGCACATATGTACGCACACGTGTGTGCACAGACCACGCAGTGCACATGTACACTCAAGCGCACAGACCACATGGTGCACACACGTGCTCACACGTGTGCACAGACCATGCAGTGCACGTGTACACTCAAGCGCACAGACCACACGGAGCACACACGCAGTCACACACGTGTGTGTACACTCCTGCCCTTAGGTCTGTAGTCTTTCTCTTTGACCCTGCTGGGTTTAAGCTGCCCAGGGAGGAGCCACAAGGAGTCACTGGTTTTGGGGTCCTGTGGTGGGGTATCCGACTCCTGGGCCACAGTGGCAGAGGTCCAGGCAGGGGCCAGTCAGGGTCTCACGCTGCCTGTCCCCCCACAGCCTGGTGGCCATCCAGAGGAGGGATTCTGCCAGATGCCAAGATGCCCTGGCGTCCGTATGGGTGTCTGGTGGGTCCTGCATTTGGTCTGCCTGGAGGTGCTGGCCACTCCCTGTGCCCTCTTGGGACGTGTGGCCCAGCCTGGAATCCCAGGCCCCGGCCCTGGCAGGTGCTGCCGCCCCTCTTGGTTCCCTGGCCCGGCTCCTCCCTCTTGTCTTGTCCGTGTAAAATCACAGTCCGCGAATCTTCCGGCTGCCACCGCAGCTGGGACACGCTGGGGGAGACCCCTCCCGTGCCTCCCACACACAGGTCCGAGAGTGGCAGGTGCCTGACACACCCCACCGGAGGACACGCTGCCCCTCAGCCATGCCCCTCCCTTTTGGGGGCCTCACTTGGAGGCTGCAGTCACCTCTGGCCCTGTGAGGGCTTCTCCAGGGGGCCCTGTCGGAGCTGTGGGTCTCATCGCCCCAGGCCCCGCCCAGAGGGGAGCTGCAGCCAGCACGCCAGTGTTTTCATGTTTTCTCTGAGTCAGGACAACCCCACTCCCCTCAGGCTGGAGGTCTCCGTGTTCCTAGGCTCCAGACCCTGCGGCTGGAGGGAAGGGGAGGAAGACCCCAGCTGGGCTCGGTCCCCCACTTCTCTCTGGAAAGAGCTGGGCTCTGAGCGATTTCTGGTTGTTTCCCGGAAGCCAAGGAGCTGAAGGAGCTGGCAGAGCTTTGCGGAAACACCCGTGTTGTCCCCACCACCCTGAGCTGTGAATGCTACAGAGTGGAGGCTGGGGGTGTTTGCAAGGTCACAGCTGATACCACCCAGCCCAGTGGCACAGACCCTTGAACCACACGTGGGGTGGGAGGGGCACTCGGAAGTCGGGACCGATGTGGAGGGTGCCCGGCCGGGGGCTGAGCTCTGAGTGGTGGGCGCTCAGTGCCCGGGTGTCCCCTGACCCCGTCCAGTGCCTCCCATACCCACGCAGAGCTCCCAGGCCACATGGATGCATGTCCAGGGCATGAGGGTGGGGTGAAGAGGCCTGGGCAGGACGCTCAGGGGCTGCCTGGGGGGCCTGTGTGGCTGTGCCAGGCCAGTCGTCCCACATTCCCACCCAGGGGTGCAGGCTCCTCTTCAGCCCCAGCACAGTGCCAAGGAGCAGGAGAGACAGCTGGGGTGGGGCTTCCTGAAGGAAGCTGTGCACACCGAGAGGCTTTCTGTGACCCCGGGAGCGTGGGGGGGGTCCCGGTTTGCCCAACTCTGGTGTCTTGTAAGTGTGGGGCTGACCCTGGGAGAGGTGACTTCACAGGGGAGGTTGTGGGAGATGGTGGAGGACGAGGGACTAGAAGGGGCCGCTTGGGAGGGGGGGCCCTGTTCTGTTTGAAAAGGCGTTTGTGGGGTGGGGTTGAGTGCACTCTGGCCTCAGACGCTTGCCGTGGTGGCTCTGGCTGGCCGAGGACACCGGGTCTGGCCAGTGGCATCTCCTGAGAGGTCCTAGCGTCCGACTCTCGGCCAGGTGCCAGCGAGGAGAGGCCAGTCCTCGGGACTGCCAGGCGGGTGCGTGTACTCCCCCACACGCCCCATGCCAACTCCGCCTGGCTTTTACAAAGTCGTTGCCTTAATGCATGTGGACAGGAACTCCCTGAGGCCACCCCATGCCCCCCAGCTTGGCCAGGCATGGATGCCCTGGACCCTGCCTCCAGGCTGGGCGGGCGAGGGGCCCGAGGGCCGGGCTCCAGAGACAAGCGCAGGGCAGGAGGGGTCTCACACCGAGGCGCTGAGAGCCAGCGGTCCCACTGGACGCCAGCCACCTGCCTGGGATCCACTGAGCCACGCGCGCCCGCCACGCCCGCACCCCACTCCACTGCGGCCTGCCATCCTCCGGCCGTGACGCTGGCTGCAGCTTCCCCGTCTGCGCCGTTGCCTCTGGCTGTCTGCACTTCTGTTCATGCTCCAAAGAATCTTTCATAATGCCTTCAGTACCGACGCACACTCTGGCCATTTCGTACGTGTCCTTGTGCCGTAGTGACCGGGCCTTTCTTTGGTGGCTGTGTCGCCCGCCCACCTCAATCTCCACTTCGTGCAGCGTCCGTTTCTAGGGATAGACGCCCAGGGAATGAACTCTAGTTTTCTAACAGATTAGCCGAGATAGTAACTCACGCACACGGACAGGTTGACGCCAGAGCCACAGGAACGGCAGTGCGGGTTTGCGGGGGGCTTCGGGTGTGGGGTCCCACGGCCGGGACAGCCGTGGAAGGTTCTGGGGATCCCTGCTGCCACAGGGACGGGTTCGGGCACCAGGTGGACCTGTGCACTCAGTAAAACGCAGCGATTCAACCTGGACGGCATGTGGCCTCCTCACTCACACGGGCGGTCTCTGGGCAGCTGGTCACTGGGCGGGGGACCCAGGGTTGGGGCAGGGAGGTCCCTCCCAGACCGCACTCTGCCCCGGGGCAGTGAAGGCCTGTGCTGTGCTGGTTTCCTGGGGCCACCATGGAATTCCTCAAATCTCAGCCTCCAAACACCAGAAATTCATCATCTCGCAGTGGGGAGGCTGGAGCCCCTCCTCCCTCGACACCGGCCTTGTGCTGGGCCTGGGTCTGTGGCACCAAACCCTAGTGCGAGCGCTGCTGCGTCTCAGCCGTCAGGAGCAGCGGAGACCAGGGGGCTACTCAGCTCTTAATGGGAAAGGAGCCCTCCCCAGCGTCTGCACCACCACCCCAGTGCCAGGGGCTCGTAGTGACACACGCCACACTCCTTCCACGGTCTGGTTCCATATACGCCACCAAGGATCTGCCACGGCGTGCCCACATGGTGCTCCCACGCCACCTGCCCTCGGTCACACTGTCACCCCACTCCACAGGAGGGGACTCGGAGCGCTTGGGGTGTCCCCAGCCCCTGGTGGCTGCAGGGGCCACGCGTGATTCTGCACTGTGGGACCCAGAGCCTGCGGGGGTGCTGGAGCCACAGCAGAACCGGGTCCCGACTCGGCCATCTGGGTCCCTGCAGATCCCTGCTCAGACAGAGTCACATCCTGCTGTCACCTGGCTCCCGCAGTGGGAGGGAGGTGAGGGAGGCCCCCACCCCCAGGTCTTCGGCAGGCATTTCTGTTCACCCGTCCCTCTCTGGAGCAGCAGTTGGGACCTGTTGAATTCTGTGATTCCTGTGCAGGGTCTGGCTCAGGCGCCGTGTGCCCGGGCTCCTGTTGGACTCTGCCTTTGGAAGGTCTTGGGGCACGTGCCTCTTTGGTGAATGAATGAGTGAGTGAGAGGATGAATGAAGGGCAGGGTCCATCTCTGGAGGGGGTGTGGGGTCCATCCTTATGGAGCCTCTGCATGCCCAGCTCCTGGTGGGGCTCTGCACTCACTCTCTGGCTGCCTCCGGACGGGGAACTCCTGAGAACCCCTGGAGACCCCTTGGCAGGCGGCCCTCCCACCCCGCTTCCCACCCCGCTTCCCACCCTGCTTCCCCCCACCACATACGGCTGACTATGTGACTATGGCTCCTGTAGCCCCTCCCAGACCCTCACATACGCCCCCATCCCTGAGTCCCCTTCAGACTGGAGCACTCAGGGGCTCTGACAAATGTGCCCCCTTTGTGAGAGAACCCTCAGGTGGGGGAGGTGCCCAGTGGTGCCCATGGAACTCAGGGTCACAGCAGGAGAAGGCAGTGTGGGCGTGCAGACCCCTGCACCCGGCGCGGGGAGTGAATCACCCTCCAAGGTGCTCGTGACCAGGCCAGCGGGTGGGGTGTCAGGCTGAGGGCCTCAGCAAGCCAGTGGAGAGGTGGGCAGGAAAGCTTGTCCAGAGGCTGGACGTGGGCAGAGGAAGATCTGGGCAGAGAGGGGGCAAGGAGATGAGACAAGCAGATGGGGGAGGGGCCAAGCCAGCAGACAGAAGGCACCCAGCGGGACACTTGGTGGCCAGCATCTGCCCGGGGGGCGCTGAGGGAAGGGACTGCAGGGGTCCCAGGAGAGGCCAGGCCCAGCAGATCCAGCATCTTTCTGGGTGTCTGCAGGCCTCAGGGGGAGGCAGGGAGAGCCTGGGGCCCCCAAGAGAACCCAGGGGCCACAGGGGGTCCACAGAGGCCCCTCCTCTGGCCAGAGCCCCAGGACCTGGCTGCCCCTGCCCCTCACCCACTGTGGCCCCTGGCCCCACCATTCCACAACACCCCAGCTCATTCATGCCCCGAGGAGAGAGTCACTGGGCATCACCCGTCCCCACATCTTGTCCACAGCACCACGCTCAAACCAGCCAAGGGTGCTTGTCCCCAGGCTCCAGCCACTGAACCACAGTGGGAATGTGTGATACCTCCAGCCACTGAATCACAGTGGGAATGTGTGATACCTCCAGCCACTGAATCACAGTGGGAATGCGTGATGCTTCCAGCCACTGAACCACAGTGGGAATGTGTGATACTTCCAGCCACTGAATCACAGTGGGAATGTGTGATACCTCCAGCCACTGAACCACAGTGGGAATGCGTGATACCTCCAGCCACTGAACCACAGTGGGAATGCGTGATACCTCCAGCCACTGAATCACAGTGGGAATGCGTGATACCTCCAGCCACTGAATCACAGTGGGAATGTGTGATACCTCCAGCCACTGAACCACAGTGGGAATGCGTGATACCTCCAGCCACTGAATCACAGTGGGAATGCGTGATACCTCCAGCCACTGAATCACAGTGGGAATGCGTGATACCTCCAGCCACTGAATCACAGTGGGAATGCGTGATACCTCCAGCCACTGAATCACAGTGGGAATGCGTGATACCTCCAGCCACTGAATCACAGTGGGAATGCGTGATACCTCCAGCCACTGAATCACAGTGGGAATGCGTGATACCTCCAGCCACTGAATCACAGTGGGAATGCGTGATACCTCCAGCCACTGAACCACAGTGGGAATGCGTGATACCTCCAGCCACTGAACCACAGTGGGAATGTGTGATACCTCCAGTCACTGAATCACAGTGGGAATGCGTGATACCTCCAGCCACTGAACCACAGTGGGAATGCGTGATACCTCCAGCCACTGAATCACAGTGGGAATGCGTGATACCTCCAGCCACTGAATCACAGTGGGAATGCGTGATACTTCCGGCCACTGAACCCTGTGCTTTCCCTTGTGACGATGCTGTGTTTTATGCCATCTATTTTACAGTTTCAACAAACAACAGGGGCAGAGCCTGGCCCAGCCCTCTTCCTCCTGGGCTGGGTCTCGCTCAGCAGAAGGGACCTCAGTGAGCCCCTGGCAGTCTCCATGGGGCCCAGAACTGGGATTAGCAGCTACGAGAACGTGGTCAGTTTTGAGTAGACTGAGGTCTGGGGCTCTGGGCCAAGGCTCAGGGCAGTGGGTCTGAGCAGCCACAGGCTGGGGCGGGGACTCCAGCTTCCCTCATCCTCCATGGCCTTACCTCCTGGCATCTCCCAGGCGGCCTCAGCTGGGTCCAGTGTGGGCACGTGGGCACAGCCCCGCTCCAGCCCCCTCTGGGTCAGCTCATGCTCCTCACTCCTTGCCCCACCCAGCCCTTCCACACCTGGGAGGTGACCCCACACAGCCTCCCGCCTGGTCCACACACTCCTCAGCCCTTCCCCGGCTCTGAGGCGGTACAACTGCACTGTAGGAATGATCCACAGCACCAGCCTTTTGGCTTGAACTGGAAACTGAGGCCCAAAAGGTGGAACAGAGTGGTCCAGCGAAACGGCCGGTGTATGTGCAGAACCTGGAGGCTGGCCTCCCAGGGACCCCACTCCTGGCAGGACTCAGAACCGCCAGGTCACGGGAGGTCCCCGAGGGGCAGGCAGCAGGCACCTCTCACCTTCTAGCACCCACCCACCCCAGCCACCAACCCCAGATGTCTGAGCCACTGACACTCAGGAACAGTCAAAGGCGGAGCAGGGCTTCACTGAGGAGCCCCGTCACTCCCCCACGGGGTGAGGGAGCCTCCAAGCCACACAGCAGACGTAAGCACATGGATCTTCTCAGGCCACCCCACAAGCTGCCGGCTTAAGGATTTCATCTGAAAGTTTCTTCTGTGTGGACAGCGCTGGCTCCTGTGAGCTTGTCTGTCCGCCCAGCCCGGCCACACCTCCTCGCGCAGCCCCGGCCACTCCTCCCTCATGGCCGCGGAACCCCGACCCGGTGCTCCCTGCCCCAAAGTCTGCCAGCTCTCCAGCGGCACCAGGACCCTCCGAGGGCAGCCTCTATGCCATCCCCACCGTCCCCACACCTGCCTTCCTCCTCTCTCCTCTCTTCTAGAACTTTCCTGGCCCTCCCTGGTCCACCTCCAGCCTGCCTCCTCCTTGGAGCCCCAGAACTGCCTGGAACCAGCACCCCACCCTCTGCCTGGAGCTGCGTCCCGCAGGTGGCGTTGATCTGGCTTCCACCCGCCGCCCCCCTGGCTGGAGTGATGGTGACGCTAGGAAAGTCCCAGCGTGTGAGCTTGGCTGAGTCCTGGGGAGTCCCACTCGCTTGCAGTCATGTCTGCTTTGATAAAACGCTGAACACTTCATTTCTTTTTCAATGTGAAAGCAAACGGGCTCAGCTCAAGAGATCATCTCAGGAGACAAGGACTGAGCCGGGCGTCCCCCCCGGCCTGGAGTGACCCTGGGTGGGGACCCCTGGGTCTGCTGTCATCGGCCAGCAGAGAGAGGGGAGCCGCGCCAGCCTCTCGCAGGGACAGGAGCACCTGTTGCGTGCAGGGGAGGGCGGGGAAGGAGAAAGGGGGGCTGTGCCTGCCAGAGGAGGGCTGAGGGGCGGCAGGGTCTGGGGGTGGCTCCGAGGGTGGGGGCACTCTGCGACGCTGTCCTGGTGGCCTGGATGCCCTCCCTCCACTCCTTCCTCAGAGGCCACCTCGTGGCTCTCCGCACGTTGGGTGTGTCCCTGCGCTGTCTGTCGGCTTCACGTGGCCTCACCTCCACACCCATCATGGTCATGTCTTGGGCGCTCGTCACCCACGCCCTCTCAGGGTGGAGCCCCTGCCTGGACTCAGGTCCCCCGGTATCGCAGCAGACAGCAGTCCCAGACCCTCCAACTGTCCACGCAGGAGCTCTCCTAAGGCAGCAGGTGGTGTCGGGGGCTGAGACCCCCCAGCACCTCCGCCTTTTCCCGGCCTGATGTGAATCCGGCACTGTGTCCTCGTCCTTGGGCCTGGCTCAGATGCCGCCCTGCCGCCGCAGGCCCCGCCTTCCGCTCTGCACCCTGGTCTGTCATCTGTCGCCCTGGCCCCGAGCGGCTCCCGCAGGTCTCAAAGGCCATGCACACAGGAGTCCCTGGACCGGGCTGTGCCTTGCTGGGGCTCCTTCCCTCGGTGGTGAGTCCCCGGCTCGGCTCC